GTCCGTTACGGAGTCCCAGTCGCCTCAGACGAACTGAGAGGGGCTGACCGGGATTAGCCCGTTCGCAGAAACGATTACAGAAATAATTTCGGTTGGCAGACCACCCCACATGTCAGTCACCTCGTAAGCTAGCACCAGATATTTTGTCTGCTTAATTGTTTCGGCTTTCACGAGGTTCTTGTCATAAAGAATGGTAATGTCTACCAAAAATATCCTTGATTATACTCCGTCCATCAGCACAATATCAGGCTTATTAGCAAGAATAGTTGAGATCATCCATATAGAAAAAGTGGGTCACTTTTGTACCTCCTTTCCGAAGATGAAATTTCCTCCCGGAACCCTCCAGTAAGGTTCTGAGAGGGTTTGGAGAGAGGCAGAACCAGATTGGACTCAAAGAATCGCCGTGGACGATACCCCTTTCTTATCCTTATGTGGTTCTCCGCTTTCGCCATTCGCTCGTCTAGATGATAAAGGATCGTACTCTACTTCCCCATACACTGCACGAGAAAGTCTCTAACTGTACAAGAAACTCGGGAGTAACTTCTGGTCGAGAGCCTTTTGAAACTGTCGGGCGAGCACGGCGTGATACTCCGCGAACAGCTTCAGCCGGTAGTGATACAGCCCGTCGAGCCCTGTACTTTTCCAGTTTGGGGACCTTCGGACCGCCTCAGCTACATCGTCCGACGTTATGTTGACACGGAACGCACAAAGATTCGCCACAACTTCCATCCAAAGGCCCTCGCCCGCGCCAGATTGCAACAGTGTCTGCCAGTAGCGCGACCAGCCGTGGAAAGTTTGGCGCCAATGATACGGCAAACTACCAGTGCGGTGGTTATTATTATTATTATTATTAAACCTCAGGGTTGACAACGCTTCTGCATTTTGTTTTTTAGTTGACGACCTTTTTGACCTTACTTTTATAAAAAATAATAATAAATGTAAAAAATACTTTTAATTTACTAATTTTACTTTTATCTTATGAAAATTAATATATTACTAGCTTTTTATCCGCGGCTTCGCTCGCGTGGGCTTGAATTTAAAACACCGTTAGTTCCTACTATTTCGTACTAAAATTAGCAAAATTAGATCACTTGTAGAGACACGTTGGTATCTGTGTCTATATTGGCAATATTGTAGGCTACAGAAACATAAGTTAGTTTATCAGAATCGCATAAATATCATACGTCAAGCAACACCTTTTTTGTATCGGACACGTCTTTAGATGTGTCTTATGAAGGGAAAATTGTCCTAGAGTCAAAAATGCGTTATTTATATAATATGGATTTTTAAAGTTGACGTAAATGTAGTTCTATTCACGGTGAACGGGTAAGTAGAACTAAATCCATGAACAGGAGTAGAAATCTACATAAGATGGGCAGCAGCATCTTCCTGATCATACCTCAAAATAATAAAATACGCAGTTGGCAACTGGCATGCCAAGCGTGGCAACTATGGCAAATATTCAACTTACTTTGCAATCTGCGGAGGGAATCCAATTGACAAACGGGAGTAAAAACTATATATAACCCATGTAGAGGCGGCGAAAAAGAAACCACTACCCCATTTCGTCCCGTGGGTGTCTTAAGAGGCGACAGAGGGAAACTGAAACAGGAGATGGGTAGCTTTCTTTAACAGTGCAAAGTAGTAAAGAGCTATGTTTGCCAACCCGCTTGCCAAGAGTGAACACTACTGCAAATTCCCCGGTCTATTTGACAAACAATGGGCGAAGCCTATGATCAGCTGTGAATAGCCCCATTAAAAGTAAAAAAGTAGCAGCATAAACACATCCCACTACTGGGCACGGGCCACAACGAGTTTTAGGTCAAAAAGGAGTTAATTAAGTTGACTCCAACGCTGGATGACTGACTTCACATATCTTCACATATCACTATACGTTAAAATGATTTCCGAAGTATATTTTTTAACTTCTTAGATATGCAGGTTTCCTTGCGATCTTTTTCTCCATCACCGAGAACGTGTTACATCGAAACCTGTAATAAAAAAACTTATAATTGCAGTTAAAATATGTCGGCGCGGATTTAATTTGGGTTGCTTACGTACCTACTACGAAACACAGTTTTACGTTTAGATCGGTTTGATTAACACCTTATACAGATGACTTTCAAAATTCTATCAATGCAGTTCTACTCATAGTTAAAATTAAAATAAACACGTGTTTTAAATTTGCTTCCTTTGATATTTATAAGTACCTACTTTTTCACAAGAGTCTGTTCATTTACTATGAACACAAAAAATATGAAAGCTATCTTAATATAAAAACTGGTTTAAAAACTCAAAAAGTAAAAAAGAACTATTCCATCAATTATAGACAAAGAGGTATATATATATATATATATATATATATATATATATATATATATATATATATATATATATATCTTACAGTGAATTTAATTTTCAATTACTTATATCGGACTTGATACAAAAAGAAATTGGTGAAATATTGCAATGCCGATAGACACACAACTTCAACTAAAGACCAGTTTTGTGTACACAGTTTTGTTAGTAATTTTGCTAAAATTGACAATTATGATAAATCATGCAGACAGTGGCCATCGGTCTATACCGGTCTGACAATTTTTGATGCTGCAATAATAAGTACCTACATATTTAATAGAATTGTTTTTAATTTGACCGGTTATGTACTTATTATTAGTTTATTTAGCAGTAAGTAGATGGCTCCATTATTGCATTAAAACTATGACAGCCAAAACTAGTGCTCAGACACAATAAGTTGAGGTGCGACTGGAGTGTCTCTATCGTACAACAATACTGCTAATATTTATGTAATAAATTAATTTGGCATAAAAAATTCTGCTTTTATCAAATATATGCAATCATCGCTGCTAGCGGTATGTAATGAAATTACTTTACGATCTAATAATAATATCTAGATATAGCAATGTCGTGTTGAGTTGGTAATATCGCAAAATAATCTCTATTAATTGATTTGGTCAAGCTACCTATATCATAATGATTTCTTAAATTTACGCGAACACTACACATTGAATAAAACTATTATTTACGGATTTTATCGCGTTTAATTACTTTAATTTGTTTTTACTATCCCGACGTTTCGGGTGCTTTACAGCACCCATGGTCACGGGGGGGGCACTGAGATGTTTGACGTCCCAATGTCATAGTTAGTCCGGCTACCTTCAGTTTTTGAATATTAATTTTTGGTCCGATTTACGCAAAACGAGCTTATAGTATCATGAAGTCTTGCAGTGGTATGCTTGGGTTTGGATTTAATTTTGTTAATTATAGGATCCCAAGCTGCTGGCAGCACCCATCCATCTTCTCTATTGAAATTTGGATGTTTTTTAATTTCAATAGCCTCGCGTATCATCCTTGGTAGGAATTGGTGTTCTTTTGCGAGGATTTGTGGTTTATCAAATCGAATGTAATGGTGGAGACGATCTTGAACATGTTCGCAGACTGCAGACTTCCCGGAGCATCGGTGCTTCGCGTCAGCTATATGTTCCTTCACGCGGGTTTTTATAGATCGTTTTGTTTGACCTATGTAAGAGAGACCACATTCACTATCTAGCTTGTACACACCTGCATCCTTAGAGGAATATTACATTTGATGGATGGTAAAAATTGACTAATCTTCTTCGGCGGCTTGTAGCATGTTTTAATGGAAGCGCGCTTCAAGATGTAGCCAATATTGTCTGTGACTCCTCTGATACATGGTAGTACAGCAGGCGCACGCTCGACTGTGGCTGGCTTCACTCGTTCACTGTGACGTAGGCGCGGGACCCGAAGCTTGTTGTCTTGCAATACTTGCTTGACGTGTTGAAGCTCGGCGGCCAGATGTTTTCTGTCACAGATCCCTCGTGCTCTCTGAAACAAAGATTTACCCACGGTAGCTAACTGTGAAGGATGATGGTGAGGTTGAATTTAAACTTAGAAACGTCCCTAATTTTATGATTTTCGATAGATATCACTATTATCTATTTAAGTAGAAATTAGTTACAATAAAATTTATTAATATAGTACTAGAATGAAATATACAAAAACAAAAAAATGTCCTTTAGAATTTACAAATCAATTATGAATTTTGAAAATAACTATATAAATGTAAGCTATTTATATTATTTAATTTATTAGTAACTGGAAGCAAAATGTTACTACTTTTTGTATTTTACGTTAGATTCGACTGTCTTCAAAAAGCGAATACAATAATATCGTAGATTGTCAGCGTAGTTCAATTTATTACGCAACGGTTAAATGTAATTTTGGGCTTTATTTATAAACATTTTATTTATTTTAATAAAACACATCAATCGTATAAAATTGAAATTAACATCTAAAGTAAGGAAAATACTTAATCCTTCTTTTTCGAAGTTCCGTAGTCTGATAAAAATTTGCCTATAAGTAGCCCCATCCCAAACTACCTACACACAAATTTTCATGGAAATCTGTTCAGTAGTTTTTGCGTGAATCATGAAAACACAGACAGGCAGATAGACAGACAAAAATTCTAAAACCACTAATTTGGCTTTAGTGTCTTTATTTAGTCCCCTGGACTTCATTGGACTGGAATCCCCTGGACGTCATTTCTCAAAATATTAGAATTACAGAGACGACTTTTCTACAGATTTACTATATGTTTAGATTGTTTCAAATATAAGCAGATAAAATTGTAGGTATATCGTCAATCACCTGATACGCAAATAATAATTTAATCTGACACATACGGCAATGATAAGCTCATGATAGTCATCTAAATTATTCGCATTGTCGTTAAATAATTGCATCGCTCACAATGTTTAATACATAAGTCTGGAAATGAAATGTTATAAAGGTGACTGCAGAAAGTACTGGAGATTTCTGTGAATATTATGTATCAGACGTTAAATATTAACTATTGTCTGATATTAGAGAGACTAAAGTGAATAAATTGTTCCATAAATAAAAATTTACAGGAATTTAACAACATTCATTATATTATGTTACCATTAAAATATAACACAATGTGGTTTTCAAAAAAAACTACAGTGATTGCGCTTTTTTTTGGTAAGTGTTGAGTACCTTAATTCTCTTAATGCGGTTTTAGATATATAAGTCAATGGTTTTAGAAGATATTTTTTAATCTGTTTTAAAAATAAGGCATTTATTTCAGAGATGTGTCTATTGAATGATGTGAGATTGAATTTTATATTGTATTTCTCTAAATTACTTTTAAATGTCTGTAAGAATGTTTGTAAAATAGAATCTATACATATAATAAAATTCTAAATTGCAGATGTCTGTCAGTCTGTCTGTCTGTTTGTTTATGAACGTATCACTTCTAAAGTACCAATATTTTTTAAATAATCGTATAAAAAAGCAATAAAGCGCATCTTCGAGTGACATTAAATGTTAGTTTTATAAAAGTAGATTTATTCTATTAAAAGTTATGTTTATTATATTGAAATGTAGGTACTAATTTCTTCAGCGGTAGCTTTGAGTCAACAAGTGCATTTTAATCTAATCTCAGAAATCGTAATTAAATTATGTAAAATAATGTTCTTTATTGATTGAATTGATTGAAACACATTTATACCCAAAACACATGATAAAGAAAATGTTTTCTCACAAAAATATAAATGTAAATACCATTTTTTAATTTTTGTCAAAAGAGTACAATAGTTAACCAGTGTAATTTTCATAACTAGGTACTGCTTATCTTTATGTGACACACAGGCGGAATAACATATAGCAATGTAAACTTAAGTATGTATTTCTAAAATATATTAATCGTAAAAACGTTGCGATGCTTAGCTTAAAATAACCATAAAGCAAAGATTTAAGTTGTACATTTTTAATAGCGCTATTTCAAGGGCATTAGTAAGATGTTCAACTACAATAAAACAATATCCTAACAAACTTTATACGTCCTACTGCTGAGCACAGGCGTCTTCATGCATATTTCTTAGAGGATTTGTTTTTTTATACGGCACAGCACTCATCGCGCTGCCCTACTACGTGTTGGCAAAATCGTTTATTAATACCAACTTGTAATTTTTAAAATGTAGGTCTGCTCACGATATTTTTTTCACCACTGAGTACGTGATAAATCAAATTTTAAAAACGTCACTAACAATTTCGTTGGTTTCGGTTTGAATCGAACTTAGGTTCTTTGCGTCCAGAGCTACCGAGGAGCTCCTTTTGTTATTTATATAAAAATTTAATACCTAGGCTGTAGATTATTAGAAACCTGTTATTATCTAATTACTTTAAAGGTTTTATTACGTAACGTACGTCGTCTGTTATCATCTTTGAGTATAAAACGTATTGGTTTTATACTTTTCACTCAAAGGTTATCATTAAGATCTAGTGAAAATAGTGTAATCTCTTTTCAAATACAAATTAATATGATTTTTTTCGGTTAATTTTCATAAGAATCTATTCTTTATTACACCTGTTTCTGTATATATATATATATATATATATATATATATATATATATATATATATATATATATATATATATATATATATAAAAAAATAAACTTGACTGAACTGAGCTGAACTCCTATTTCGTATTTTATGTGCAAATGCATAAATTACATTTAATAAAAAATTTTTTGACTTTGATTAAATAATTACCTAAACAAAGATTTAATGGAAATTGTTATGAAATTGTACTTTATTAATGTAAAATGTTATTTGCAAAAAGAAATTTTAAAGGTAGATATAAACAGCATTTTTAACACAAGTTATATATTTTCATTTTAAAGATATCCTTAGTTTCATGAGTGCAGCGTCACGCAGGGAACCTGCCGAGAGAAACCAACTTATTTTAGACAGCTTGGTTAACTGGATTCCCTCAAAGTGTGGTGACCCTTAACAGTTTAGTGGCGATGTAAGGATATCCACTACCCCATAGCATCCTATGGGTGTCGTAAGAGACGGCAGAGGGAAACTGCTACAGGAAGTAGGCAGCAGCATCTTCCTATTGTCAACTAAAAATATCAAAACTGCAGCAGGGGAGGTCTATGTTCAGCAGTGGTCTTACAGAGGCTGTAAAGGGGATTTAGTTTGGTTTGTTGCTTCTTTGCTGGTTTTTTTTAAAGTTGTAAGTAACTAAATACTTTTCACTTCACGTACACAGTGTGTATGATCCCATGACAACTTTGCAACGACAACAAACAACGCGACTTGCAAGAGTAGTTCTAAAGTTTGGAGGGGTTAGAAACTGAAGAATTGAGTCGTATAACGTAAAAATATCAAAATAATTATTTCTTTTTGTTTCTTTTTTTAGACGACTCCGTGGGGCAGTGTATTATTTTTTATTTTTTTTATAGGATAGGGTGACAAACGAGCACACAGTCCACCTGATGATAAGTGGTTGCTGTAGCCCATAGACATCTACATCTATATTCGATTACGAATCAAAATGCAGATGCGTTGTCACCCGTGAGGACTCAGATGGAATGCCTCGTTTCCAGTAAAAAGGGGTCTCCGGTTCACCATACGAAACACAGCAGCATTAAGCTACTATTTGACGCTGGTATTCTGTGAGAGCGTGGTCCCTCCCCGGTCGAGCCGACCCATTCGTGCTACAACTATATTACTAATATAACTGCAGCATGGCTCTACCACGTATAAAATTTTTTTTTTATTAGCAAGGTAATTAGCAATGAGTGGCTGCGCTGGGGTCGCGGGTTCGAATCCCGCACGGAACAAGTATTTGTATGGCCTATAAATAATTGTTCCGGGATCTGCAATTTATGTTTGTAAACTGCCCCCGCGATACTGGAGAAAATCCTAGTGTAGGGTCTAGTTTAAAAAAAAATGTTATCTATCCTTTACTTTACTTCTTAATCATCATCAGCCAGCTAAAGTCTACTGCAAGACGTGGACATTTCCCGCTATCGGAATGATTTTCTATAATTCCTACAGTTGGCAGACAGATTGACGGTCGCAATACAAGACGTCTCGCACCTCTGACGTTGCTGTCCGTAGTCAGTCTGAGTGTCAAAAGCCGTTAGATTTTTCCAACGTCTTCCATAGTTCGCGTTTAGCGTTTTGGTTTCTCACGTTTTTTTTTCAGTGAGTCTCCTATACCTGAGATACAACATATTAGGACTCTTTAGTTTGACCGATGGTTATGATATCCGTGTAAATGACCGAAAAAAAAACATGAAAGTAATAAGTCTGTCGCTTTGACATCTTGAACTATTTAATAAAAGTTACCAAAAAACAACATTGGTGGACACTTATGGTAGTTTCAAGTTCATGGCAGATGTATATGTTGATAAGTACAATTTATTTTAAATTTAAAAGACGTAATTTAGATATGTTGTTGATAATATTAGTTCACGTAAATGTTTTGCATGGCGAACATAAGTATATTGTGGTTCTCACCCAGGCAGATAACGAACTTCAGTGGCGTCCATAAGCGCGTACTATCTCACTCACTCTTATCCAGTTTTTTTTCTCTTATACTTCTTAGATTCTCTGAGACTATCTGTTAATACACGGAAAACGAATTGTCGTTCCCAATTTATGTTTCATAAATTAAAAATATGTTTTTATAAATTAAAATGTAAGTATGAGCAAGGCGAGAAATAAGGGAAAGTTAGTGTACGAAATAAAGCCAATGAAATTCGTTCTAACACTGATTCTATCGAAAAGGAATTATAAAAAAATGTATAAGCAGAAGTACGGAAGTTATACAAGTGTTGCGCAGCTAAGTTGACATCTGGCACTAGCGCCATCTAGTGTCGGGTAACGGAGCGAGGGGAGAGCTTTCCAGAAAATGACATCGCTAATCTTTCAACCGACAGCGCCATCTATTGTCGAAACTAAGAACTAAGCTTCTGGAAGCTGACTCCTCTTTGACTGACTTTCGGCGCTTTGTCGATTGGTGCGCGTATTTACTTGAATGTTCTGGATGATTCGGTACTAATGTGTATTTATAGGCGCTGCAATACGCGATCGGGGAAGTATTGAATTCGGCGAGACAAGCGAAGCTTCGGAGCGGAATAAAGTGAATCAGTGTGCTTAATTATTAGTGTTTTAAGTTTTAATTTGTGTAAAGAAAATTAAAGTGTTAATTTAGGTAATTCTATCGGCAATTTTTATTGTCACGAACCTCAAGCTCGTAACACAAGTGTGCGTTATTAACTAATGATATACATAATTTCTAAGCGAACATATTTAATGAGTCGTGTATGTTTTATTATTATTGTTCGGTAAACAATACATGCTGCCGGCCTGTAAGGAGGGAACGTAAGAAATAACTACAAAACAACAATTAAATAACAATCCAAAATAAAGAAAACAAAAATATCATAAATCCTTAAATATTTCATCACTGCACTACACTTGTGACCGAATGTCCAGTCACACAAATCGCTGTCGGATTCTCGGGGATGTCACAGCCACTTGGTCTTCGCTGTTTACCACTGCTATCGGGATTGAGTACGCAGCCAAGTTCAGTGCTCCCTTGCTTCTGCGACATCGCATCGTATAATCACGTAAACACATTCTGCCACAACTATCAGGCCCAGTATTTAATAACTAACTGAGTGCTGGTGTACGTGATGTACGCTAAGTGGTGCGTTTTCTTGTTCTTTGATGGTCAGAAGTGATCTGAGTTCTCATTCGACGACACTAATCTTCACGATCTTCGGGAATAAACTGCACGAAGCCTGAAGTATTTAGTCAGTATTTAAGATAGTGCTTGCTTCGCTGAAGTTTTTAAATATATAATATTTATTTTATGTCAATTTTAGTGACAATTTGTATGGTTCAAAGAGTGTTATCGCAAGACCTCATAAATATAGAGGTCAAAAACCTCCTAAAAATGCAACATGGTTTGGGCTGGCCTTACGTTCTTCGAGTGGCAGAGGGAAATGAGGCTCTTCTGCGACTGGATAAAAAATTAGAAGATTTAAAGTCTTGCGATATCACTACACCATTTGGCCTGACCTTTGATGTCCAATCACCGCCTAGTAATAGGTAAGTGAGAATTAAATCTTCAATATAATATATCTACTAACGGAAACACACACACACACACACACACACACACACACACACACACACACACACACACACACACACACACACACACACACACACACACACACACACACACACACACACACACACACACACACACACACACGCATATGGATCGATTATAAAACTCTACCTACTGACAATCGAACTAAAAGTAGTGTAGGGAGGTCCCCACTATATGTAGTAACGACTCAGTATGATGATGATGATGTAATCTAAGAATCTATGGTCTCTTCACTAATCGGTCTTTCTAACTTTGCAATATTTCCGTGGATATTGAACGAGTTTCATAATATATAATGCGAAGAATATTAGATAATACGTCAATTATAATAACCGTGAAAAAATTCAGACACTTTTAAAGTATAATATTTTATTTTAGAGGTGCTTTATTTAAGTGTACCCACTTATGACACACAGATATGCAAAATGGAGTGACGGTTGCGGTGTAAGAATACGCAGTATTGCAATGACAGATGAAGGAAGATGGCGTATGACTGCGACAGCCGGAAATAATTCTTTTACAGGATGGTCCGAAGTATATGTTGAAGGTATTTTATTAATTTCATATGCATAATAAATTCTAAGTAATTTAATTAAATGTATTGTATAATAATTTTTGAATAATAATGTCTTGCTCATTGATCTGTGTGTGTGACAAGGCATCGAAACAAACCAATGAATTAGTAAGCAAAAGCTATAATATGCCAAATATATATATATATATTTGGCATATTACGCTATATATTAATAATTTATAAGCGAAAAAAAAGGGGCCGTAGTAGCTCAGATGGTTAGCGCTCGCTGTAAATTTTACAGTACGCGAGCAACCCTGGTTGGATCCCCGACGATCCCAGCAGTGGGACATATAATATAAGCTGTAACTTTAACTTTTAAGCTACATTAGCTTAATGGCAGAATGCAGATCACGAACTCGAAAGGTCGTGCGTTCTAAATTCGAATATTAGTAACGTTAGTAGCATTGCTAGATAATAATATTTAAAAATATATTATAAATAAGAAATAAAAAAATAATGACTACGTGACTGGATTCAAACAACACACACACAACTCTTTGATTTTCGAGTCTAGTAGCGTTGTTATTGTTCCCGTATCTCTTCTTCTGCGTCACTTAAAATATTTTTTATAGGAGAGGGAGCAAAGGAACATAGGGCTCACCTGATGGTAAGTGATTACAGCCGCCTATGAACAACTGCAACACCAGGGGGATTGCAGATGCGTTGCCGGCCTTTTAAAAAGGAGTATGCTCTTTTTTTGAAGGTCCCCAAGTTGTATCGGTCCGGAAAATTTTTGGTGGTAGTCGATTCCACAAGGAAGTCGTACGAGGAAGAAAACATATTTTAAATCGCATAGTGGTGGACCGCCAGTCATCTAGATGATATGGATGGTATCGTGTGTTTTGTCGCAATGTGCGATGGTGAGACTGTGCGGCTGGAATTAGTCCGAAAAATTCCTCAGAGCACTCCCCGTAGTAGATGCGATAAAATATGCAAAGAGATGCAGCATCTCTTCGCAGTGCCAGTGAGTCAACCCGATCGGAAAGAGTTCGGTCGCCGACTATTCGAACAGCTCGGCCGTGGGATACGATTAAATGGAAGGAGCTGGCACTAGGGACAGTATTCCATGTGCGGCCGAACCTGCGCCTTGTAAAGTTGCAGGCGGTAAACCGGCATGAAATACTGTCCCGCTTTGCTGAGCACGCCAAGCTTTTAGAGGCCAATTTGGCCTTTTTGGCCCTCTTCCAAGTGACTACGAAACACTCGATATTTCGACGTTGAGAATTCCGATACTGGATGAGGTAACAAGGAGAGTGCCTTGAAACTAAAGGAGATACGACGAAGGAGTTCTTTTTAGCGGTAAACGCGCAAACTTGTGTCTTTTGCGGATCAAACTGGATTGAATTTAGTCGCCCCCAATCCGAGACTTTGTTCAGCAAAGACTCGACTTCAGATACAAGCATGTCCTGGTACTCGGAGACGTTTTCCCGAGAAATATTCGCAAAGCTGATGCATAAAGCATCACCAGTGCTGTCGTCTGCATATCACTGACATGTTAACGGTTTGCAACATGTCATTGATATGCAGTAAAATAGCGGTGGTGATAGCACGCAGCCTTGTGGAACACCAGCGTTAATTGGCTTGTAATCAATTGTATAAGAAAACTGGTGATCCAATTGCACAATTTCTCGGGAAGCCCAAAGGAAGGAAGCTTTGTAAGAAGCGCTTTGTGCTAAACCCGATCGAAGGCCGTCCCTATGTCCAAACTAACAGCCAATGCCTTTCTCTTGAACTCTACTGCCTTCGCCCTTTTGATGTGTTAGGTAACCCAAAAGATCACCAGCCGAGTGACCGCAACGAAAACCGTACTGGCGGTTACTAATCGGCTGGTGATCCTCAAGGTGCTGCACGAGCTGGCTGTAATAAAGGATTCATTTATTTTCGAGAACAATGAGGTGATGGCGATAAGCTTATTGTTGGACGGATCAGAGCGGTTACCTTTTTTAGGAATGGGTTGTACGAAGGCTATCTTCCACGATTTCGGGACTATGCCTTAGGGGTAGGAGTAGCGGAAAAGACGCGTTAAAACCGGTGCCAACTCCGGAGCACACGTCTTCAGCACAATAGGAGGAACGTCATCAGGCCGACCTCGATTTATCAACGTCCAGGGAGAGGAGTGCTCTGCGCGCCGAGCGTTGGGTAAACAGTACATCTTGCATGGAGAACTCATACCGCGGGATGGTCGGCGGTGTATTCCTCCCGTCATCAAGAGTCGAGTTGGACGCAAGGAGAGAGCCCAGCAGATCGGCTTTGTCCTTTGCGGCATGGGCCAGTGAGTCGTCCTCCCTGCTTCAGCCATCTCTCCCATCTCTTCAGATGGGAGAGATTGCTGAGAGAAGTTCCCTTGGACAGCCTTGGCGAGAGACCAGAATGCACGTGTTCCCGAAGGAAGATGCATGCAAGAATTTGCCTTTACAATGACACTTTTGAAGGACCTGGATGCAAAATTATACTTCTTTTTAAGAGCGCTGGTATCTGCATCCCGAGACGTCGATGCGCGAGCCCAGCCCTGGTAGTACTTTTGCTTATGACGTAATAAAATTTTGCAGGAGCGACCAAACCATGGTTGGGTTCTGCCATTCCCTGTGGCACCACATCAGTAGCAGAATCAGCAACTACGCTGGGATCATCCGGGGAGAAGCAAAACCGCCGCCAAGGGTCGAATGCAAAAAAGATCGCATTCCGTCCCAATCGGCTGACCTATAATGACAAACACGGCAGCAACCTGCAGTACGCAACCGTGATGGAAGCGTGAGTGGCACCGTACTCCGGATCATACAATGGCCCGAGGAGTCAAAAGGGGAAGGGTCATCGACGGAGACCTGATATCCGTCAGGATGAGAGGTCAGCGGAAAGTCCAACAGGTACATGATCTTCCACATCTGGGATCCGCGTAGGCGAATAACCAGTTGCGTCAGACCATATGCCAAAGCAAAGTCGTAAACAGATCTACCCGTATGATCGGTTAAACGAGAACCAAGCCATTCAGCGTGGTGGACGTTAAAATCACCAAGAATCACGATCTCTGCTGATGGGACCTGTTTTAGCACGGTGTCTGTAGCCATATGGACGTGGTCGATGAGTCGGTCTGTGTCGGCATTAACCGCTATGGGACCTATACAGGCACCTGTAGACGCGGGATGGTCATCGCTGTCTATGCGCAGCCATAAGATGGACAGGTCTGTACTTTCAAGGCTGCCGAGGCGTCAAAAACAGATGTCCTCTCTGACGTACACGCAAACTTCATCCCGGGGCACAAAGGAGTGTTCTAATTTGTACCCCGGGTATGAGAGATACGAAGTATCATCCGGAGAGGACACCAGTGTCTTGGTTAGGCTCTTTGCAAGACCGGCTTCGACGTTTCCATATGGTAGTTGATGGCGTTAAGGTGTGAATGAAATCCCCTGATGTTGCAAAAATTCACGGATAGCGTGGAAGGGGGCGCCTTTGACTTATTGCTCCGTTTGCCCCGATCAGGTTTAGTCCCAAGCGGAATTTTGAAGAATACGCGAGGCATCCTGAGCACCCACGCTCAGGAGTGAAGTAGAGCTAGGCTAGGCTAGGCGCTCGGCGAGGGATTCTCCATTAGTGCTGGTACCCTCCTGGGGTAGTCTTGCATTTAATTCCACTACCTTGTTGGTGGAGGGGGCGGGGGAGGGGCAATTGGACCTCCAGCCATCTGCACTCACCAGAAGAAACGCAGAAGCAGAGTCTCTACTTCACGCTGGTCTTCTGTGAGATCGTGGTACCACTCTGGTTCGAGCCGGACCATACGTGCAACAGCAAAGGCTGCCGCTTTAACAGAAAAATTTTAATTAATTAATTATTTAATTATTTATTAATTATTATGTGTTGAGCGTGCATACACTTGTGGTACTATAATATTATTATCTTCTCGGAATAAGTGAAAGCTGTAGACATCCATGGTCAAAATCTGTCTAGAGGATAACACCAGCATGTATGACAGATATAATCATTATTGATCGATGTAGGTAAAATTTTTGAAGTATGTGACCCAATATGATTGTGTTTGATATCGTCTTCATTTTCTTCTGAAGTTGAAAAGTAAAACATCACCTAAATAGAAGAAGTCATTAGCACTTAGAGAAGAAGGGTTGCTTTTATAGCACAACACAGGCTGTGTGAGGCGTACCATCTTAGTCCTCAGGAATGGCAACCCGTCTGTGGCTATCATTGTTTTGTGTTCATTACCGGCAGTGGGCATTTATCACCTTAGCTGGTTTGTCATATTTTAGAAGAATGAAAACTCCAATATTATAAAATAACACCGTACCCTTCAAATATTGTTCTTGACATTATCAGGGCATTTATTAATAACTTTTGCGGATACCGAGAATTGCATCGATGACCTTTTTAGTGGCCCTTGCCAGGCCCTTCCCTGCAAAAAGTCCACGAACTTTCATTAGGTCGTTACAAACAGAACGACTCAATGTTTTGTTCGCCTACTATCATGCAATCGCGCGCTTTCGGAAGCGTTTTTTAAATTATTTCCTTTTAGATCAGTTACTATTGTTTTCGAGTCGGATATCGCTATATTTTGGTGTGTTGACCTTTGCGGATATTGATGTTGATTTGGTTTAAAGTCTTGTGTAGAAACAAATATATAAATTTGCGTCTTATTTATAAAAACCAATGCTCAGAACGCACTTGATAAATTGATCGAAAAAAATGCCTGGCAGTTGCTACAGAATAACTTAGGGATGTAAGTCGCACCAATATCGGTGCTGTACTTACTCCAAACCTTCCTTCAGAGATATTCTGCTCGCCCTTCAAAGAAGTTCCTGAAAAATTCCCAAAGTGTAGATTATATATATATATATATATATATATATATATATATATATATATATATATAATATGTAACATACATGTAATATTATATGGGTTTGCTCGTTATAGCCGTTTGTGTTCAAAATGCGAAAAAAAAATATATCTGCCCTGTAACAAGTGTCTTGTCAGTTTTACATTCGACAAGTGGCCGTTGTGCTTTTTTGGATACACCACTGTAAAATTCTAGAAAATACATTATTTAAAAAAATGTTTTTCGGTAATTTGTATTTGTCAATACATAGAAGAATTATAAAACAAATTGCATTGTATACCTCATTTGGTCACAAATGGGTATTCAAATTATTTTGTTTCGTATTACGGTAGTGTCGTAAGAGAGTTATTCTTATATCGGTTTTTTTCTTGTTTCCTCTTTTACATTTGTAGAAGATACAAAAGTAAAAATTGGCTGGGGATAGGCAATCACGGTAACAGATGTCTCGCTCTTGACGAAGTTCTCTGTCTTGGTTTTCGGTATTTTACCTATTTCTGTATCTGTAATTAAAAGAAAAGGTTGATAAATGAGTAAAGGCTGTAAAATTGCTCGGATGTATTGCTTTTCATAGCATACAAAAGACAAACGATCTTACGTTGAAATATAGAAAAAAAAATCAGCTAATGCGGAAGAAAAGTACATCTGAGCAATTTTACAGCCCCTACTCATTTATCAACTTTTTCTTTTAATTACAGATACAGAAATAGGTAAAATACCGAAAACCAAGACAGAGAGCTACGTCAAGAGCGAGACATCTGACTGATCTTATATCGTTAGAGATCGTTAGAGCTCGCCCGTCAGTGAGTAGCATAGTACCATGTGCATGTGAAAATTGCATATAGAGAAAAATTGGCATACACTCTAAAACTTTAAATTCCCAATTGCATACCGACTTTATCCTTAAAAAATGTTGTATTCGATACAATACACCTCATTTCTGATTAAAGATGATATATATATATATATATATACATATATATATATATATATGTATACTGTGAACAGCTATTGTTGCAATCTTGTTATTTTTATTTTAGAATCCAAGTCCACGTACTCAGCTGCGCCGATAGCACTTAGAGATGGCGAGACGGAAACAGAGGTTGAATTAACGTCTCTTGAAAATTCTTATTGTCTCGTGTCAAAACCTTTTTCTGAAAGTTCATTGGTACCCGGACACTGCAGCGTTACCCTTGACCGCGCAACAAGAGCGATTCAAGGAAGTTGGAATATTTTACTGGGACTTCCTGGTCAAGTTTCCGAGTTGGAAGTACAACGTCAAGTCACAGTAGAAAGTGAGTATTTATTAGAGAATATATAATACCTGGTTGTGCATGGTGATGAAAGAAATCATCGTGAGGATACCCGTATGTCTGAGAAATAAAATATTTTGAGATGTGATCCGTTAACAGGCCTGAAGCAGTGCAGCGGACTAATTGTTCTACAGCCCTTATATAATGTAGGCTGTAACTTTACCTTATAATACTTTAATATTTTCATATTCAATCAAAGAAAAGCAATCATAATTTCACCTACGCAGTTATATTTAAATTTGTGATTTCACCCGAACTTTTTGAAAAGTGAGTACCTATAAATCAAAATATTTTATGCCGGCTACACATGTTGGCCGAGCGAAGGCGAGTACCAACTTATGGATCTTTACTCATGTGGTATAGACAGCCCATTTGTCTAGCCTCGCCATTGCTCGTCGTCGCTCGCCTAGCTGGTCGAGTGCAGGAGAGCGCCAACGTGTATACGGTTCATTTGTCGTGCCTTGCCACCATTCGGGATCGCTCGCCACGACTCGTTTCACTTCGAACAGAAATTCGCGCATGTGTGCACGAATTTCCAAATGCAGGCGAGCGCCTTAGTTAATTAGTTAGTTGGCCATTCAGTATGTTCACTCGTTCACTCGCCTTGCCAACATGTAGACTGTATCACTCGCCTTGTATCAATTTGCCTACGCTCGGGTTGGCTGAGGCTTGGCCATGTATTGTCGGCATTACTCAAAGTGGCCAATGTCTAGCAGAGGACTTTTACGGGCTGAGGTTACGATATTTACAAGCTATGTATGTATGTATCATATATACATACACAGCTTGATATTTGTGTATATGTGCTTATATTGTGTTTGTTCATCCGTTTCCTAAGACCTAGATGGTCTGTTACTAAAGTACTGATCAGGTATTATTGAAAGCATCGTGCTCTTTTTATAGACTATATAATGACGTCAAATAAAATCCAACACGGTGGCTTATTGCGGACATACAGTGTTACCACATATTCAATAAAGACTAAAATCTGTTGTGTATCCAATGAAAGGTCTAAACAAGTACATTCCGCAAATATATAGATAACATATAAATATACATACGAGTATAAAATCTAATTTTATTTTAATTTTAAGTCCAGTGAATGTATATATATATGGGAGATGAATCCACTACTCCTTATCATTCTGTGGATGTCGTAAGAGGCGACAGGGGGAAACTAAAACTCAAAATAATTAAAATGAAAAGAAGGTAAAAATTAAAACCCAATTACAATAAAAAAATCCCACTAAAAAGGTGTAAAACAAGACTTTAAAAATTATAATTTTAGACTAAGTTTTCATATTATTAATAATGTGCCTCTTGCTTTCCAGATTTCCCTCTTTGTCCAACTTAATAGACATGTTGTAATCAATATATATATAGTTATCCAAATAGAATAAAAGCAATTCATTAAGATTTGTATATTTAAACTTTACTTAATAAGTTGGACGGATTCCAAGAAACCATATTAAAAATAAATGTGTAATATTTTAGCGGAGCGCCTGGATGTGGGTTATGTGTACGACAGGAGTGAAAACAAATTGCATCTGTATTGCAACATTCTGCATACCTCCAAGAATATAACATTCTGTCGCTTTCAGAAGACTTCGGAATCATTTGGTTATAACATAGGGGATGGTCTCAGCGATGGGCGACACAGGTAATGGAAAAAAGAATGTAAACTGGATAAAACATAGATATTGCTTTATTACAGTTTTATTGTATCTCCACACAGAAGTGTAATATCTAAGAGGCGTTGCGGGTCATGAATTCGAATCCCATACAGAAAAGTTTCTGTACTACTTACAAATAATTGTTTTAAGTCTAGATGTTTGATGTGTAATTATGTAAAACGCCTATATGTTACAGGAGAAATTCCCAGTATGGAGGAGGTACTTAATAAAAATAACTTATACTAGCTTGTCTCTTTACTGTTAATCCAGCCTGCCTTGTTCTTTCCGCGATGTAAAATTGGTACACCGACCCCCTAGTTGTTGGGGTTTGATATTTCCTCGAGCCTAACCTTTGGGTGGTTCATTAAGTCCATGGCCAAGTAGGCAGCTGCAAAAAAGTAATATGTCCTAGATAAGGTGTTACTGTATTTCATGCCGGGACAGCTGCTTACTCTTTATAAAGCGCAAGTTCGGTCTTGCATCGAGTATTTGATGCGATAAATTTGCTTGTGGTGCAAAATGCTATACTATATAGCTTGGACTCAAAGAAAAGGCGTGCTAAGAGGATTAATATCCCGAGCACTGTCGCAAAATAGAAAACCTCTTGATTTTGTGAGGGATACATCTTGGAATATGTGCGCAGGAATTAGATAGCTTAATACAGAGATTATCAAACTTATTTCTTTTACCGCCCCCTTTGATAACCAATTATTTTTCGGTGCCCCCAATTTTTTATACACTCCTAAAACTTAAAACCCACAATTTCATTACTTTAATTAAATTTGTTATGGTGTGCTATATTAGTCGGTTCTGGTGTTACCTTATATTCTAAACTAGACATTTATTACAGTGATAGCAATTAATAATATTAAGAATATATTTTAATCAAAATAAAAGAAACAATATAGATAGGTAATCCATTTTAGTTTTAAAGTTTATCTAATGAGATGGATGAATTTGATGATTTTTAACGAGTTTGTTGATATCAAGTTCGATTTTACTCAAAAACAATCGTAAGTCGCCGCGTTCGGTGACATGCAAATTCTTTTTTTTAGTAAACAGCGTGGGCACAGCGCTTAATCCACTTTCATACAAATATGATGATTAGAATGCTATCAAAAATCGTTGAACTGTCGACAACAACTCAGGTTACAACTACGAGCTTGACTTTTGTAGCCAAAATTCTTGGTAGTCATTTTTGAATTTGATTGTTATTTCCTCGTTCGTTGTCAGTTCTATAAGTTCTTCTTCCAGTTGGGGTGATACTGCTATGTTGATATTTGAAAAAGGATCTAACACCCAGTCTGGTATATCCAATTTCAAAATGTCCTGGAATCTTTCAATGAAATCACTGTGGAGATTTTCCATATGTTGGCAGTAGACAAGCAACTTGTCGTTGTTGCAGGATACTGATAAATTTGGTAAAATTATGGAACTCACGTCTGCCGATATTCTTCTTGTGTAAGAGCAGCTTAAATAAGAAAGCAGCGACGACATTTTTTGTTTTTATTAAGTTCAAGTCGTCGCCTTGAATTTGGAGATTCTTATCGTCAAGCATTTTATAAAGGTCTGTCAGGTATGCGATATCATTTTTTGATGTAATGAGGTTGTAGCGCAATTCTGTGTCTTTCTTTTCCTGGAACTCAACAACAGAGTCAAACAGATTAGAAATTCGAGACAGACAATTTCCTGTTGATATACAACGCACTTTTGTGTGAAAGATCAATCGGTTGAAATCTTCATCATTATTAACACAAAGCTGATTAAAAAATAATTTGTCATTTAAAGAGTTGTTTCGGATTTTATTGACTGCTCTGATGACATGTTGCAATGATTGAAATAGTCGTTCACTTAAATTTATAGCAACCCCTATATAGCTGGAACACCATCTGAAGCAGCTGATATAATACACTTCAAGGGAATTCTTTTCTCATCACAAAACTTTTCCAGTGTTTTAAATATGGTTTCTATTTTTGTGTCTGTCTCTAAATTTCTAGCAAATAATAGTTCCTGACATATTTTTTACATTTAATAAACCTCACGCAGTTGTTGTGTGTTAACAATGCAATGCAGTCTCAATAATGCTTCATTACTATGGTAAAGTGGACTCCTCCAACTGAATTGAAAATTGACTAGTCTTCAGATGATTGCATTTTTACATTTAAAAACTCACGCAGTTCTAACAAACATATATTCATTACTTGGTAAAGTGGACTCCTCCAACTGAATTGAAAATTGACTAGTCTTCAGATGATTGCATTTTACATTTAAAAAACCTCACGCAGTTGTTGTGTCTTAACAATGCAATGCAGTCTTAATAATGATTCATTACTTTGGTAAAGTGGACTCCTCCAACTGAATTGAAAATTGACTAGTCTTCAGATGATTGCACAATGACTCTTCAACGTTTTCAGTCATTTAATTTTTTCGTCTTTGCACGAAACTATTGCTCAAAGAAAATTTTCGAATTATGTCTGTCGCTGGTTTATGGAGCACAGTAGTTATAACTTCTTTCATTGCTGGTAAAATTGACGTTTCACTGATGGTGTGTGGTTTACCTGTTTGAGCAGTTAACAAAGAGATATTGTATGAAGCTCGAAGTCCGTCATCGTCTTGCTTAGCAGCCACCGAAAAAAGTTGCCTGAGCGTTATGCTTCTTTTCCAGGTCTTGAAAATAGGTTTCATTTTTGTCCCTCTTATCTGGATGAATTTTATTCAAATGATATTGAAGTCTTGAAGGCTTCATCGCTTCGTTTGAAAATGTTTTTGAACAAAGAAGGCACAAAGGCAAAGATGGATTTGTCGAATTTTCTATGAATCCATATTTAATATATTCTGCACTATATTGCCGTCTCTTCTTTTTTGCTTCCGGCATGGCTTTGTTTTTATGAATATGTAAATAAAGTGTTGAACTTAAGTACTTGTTTAAAGATTGCGCGCGAAACCACTAATGAAAAAATAAAAATTATTACGAGCTTTTACATAGGAATTTAATACAGCACGCACCGACAGGAATAAGACAAATATGCACAAATAGAAATATAAACTAATTATTTAATATTGAGTAGTAGGTAGGTTTTAATTTTGATAAATTTTAAAATATAAAGTATCTAAATGAAATTACAAATCAACCATCGCCCCCCCCCCCAAACACGTTAACGCACCCCATTTTTTTGGGCCCCTTAACGCCCCTTCTAGGTCTTCAACGTCCACAAGGGGGCGTTATCGCCCACTTTGAGAAAGACTGACTTAATTCCTCGCTTTCACTTCGACCATCGGACAAAATTTTTTGTGGAATGAAATAATTTGTCAGAATCTGTATTTCTTTTTCCATCCGATTATATGTCATTACCAAACATTATTTCTCTATATTATTAAGAGTTTACTTGTAGATCATGCCACATTGTAATAAAAGATATATATATATATATTTTAGTTATTATGGAGATGGCTTTGCATTAAAACAATGTGGTTTAACGTTAGAAAATCCAACGGCTAATGATTATGGCACATGGCGGTGTTCTGTTGGAGTCCAGATGTGGGAAGGGAATGTTATAAGACCGCAAACGCCAATGCAAGCTTTAATAAGTGTTCCGCAAGACGCAGTAGGTAAGTACTATCACAATATAATCGTTTTATCATCCTTTTATCATCTAACAAAATAGCTGTGTTATAAACTTATGAACTTTTGACGCTATTATAATTCTATTTTTATCTTTTAAATACGATGCTGTATAGTTGGTTTGTGAATTTGTCATCATTTATAACATGTTATTTCAATAAAACTAGTGTTTATAGGTTTTATCGCATATATTAATTTATTTTATATTCGTGACGTTTCGAGAACTTTACAGCGCCCATGGTCACGGGGATTGGGGGTAGGGGGAAGGTTGGATTGTAGATTTGAAGATTGATCGAATCTTTACATTAGCTATGTGTTCTTTAATGCGATTTTTTTTTGGTTTTTTAGTTTGTCCTATGAAAAAGAGACCAAATTCACAATCAAGCTTTTAGGTACACTCCTGCATCTTGCAGAGGGATATTAAACTTGACTGATGGTAAAATCTGATTAATCTTCTTCGGCGGCTTCAAGTAAATATGTTTTAATGGAAGCATGATTCAAAATGTGGCCAATCTTGTCAATGACACCTCTGATATGACAGTAGAGCAGGCACACGCTCGACTGTGGCTGGCTTAACTCGTTCACTGTGACGTAGGCAAGGGAAACCCGAAACTTTTTGCCGTGCAAACCTTACTTGACGTGTTAGCTCGACGGTTAGGTGTTTACTGTACTGTCACAGATTCTTCGTGCTCTCTCATACAAAGATTTACCCACGGTAGCTAACTGTGAAGGATGTTCGTGAGAATCACCGTTTAAATGTCTATCTGTATGGCTATTTTTTATTTACCTTGTGGCTCAAGATGTTATCAAAATTCCGAATTACTAACAAGCAGACAACTGCAAGACTTCACGTTACTATAAGTTCATACTGCGTAGATTCGAACAAAAATTAATTATTTCAATCTGGAGGTAGCCGTGGTTAGCAATGACATTGTGACGTTGGACACCTCAGGCTCTCTCGTGACTATGAGTGCTGTAAAGTGTTCGAAACGTTGGGAATATAAAATAAGTTAATATACGCGATAAAATCCGCAAAAACTAGTTTTATTTAAATATGTAGGGTTCGCGTGAAACGTGAATATAAAATAAGTTAATATACGCGATAAAATCCGCAAAAACTAGTTTTATTTAAATATGTAGGGTTCGCGTAAACGTGAATATAAAATAAGTTAATATACGCGATAAAATCCGCAAAAAACTAGTTTTATTTAAATATGTAGGGTTCGCGTGAAACGTGAATATAAAATAAGTTAATATACGCGACAAAATCCGCAAAAACTAATTTTATTTAAATATGTAGAGTTCGCGTGAAACGTGAATATAAAATAAGTTAATATACGCGATAAAATCCGCAAAAACTAGTTTTATTTAAATATGTACAGTTCGCGTGAAACGTGAATATAAAATAAGTCTCTCAAACAAAGATTTACCCACGATAGCTAACTGTGAAGGATGTTCGTGAGAATCACTGTTTAAATATCTATATGTATGGCTGTTTTTTATTTACCTTGTGGCTCAAGATGTTATCAGAATTCCGAATTACTAACAAGCAGACAACTGCAAGACTTCACGTTACTATAAGTTCATACTGCGTAGATTCGAACAAAAATTAATTATTTCAATCTGGAGGGAGCCGGGTTAGCAATGACATTGTGACGTTGGACACCTCAGACCCTCTCGTGACTATGGGTGCTGTAAAGTGTTCGAAACGTTGGGAATATAAAATAAGTTAACATACGCGATAAAATCCGCAAAAACTAGTTTTATTTAAATATGTAGGGTTCGCGTGAAACGTGAATATAAAATAAGTTAATATACGCGATAAAATCCGCAAAAACTAGTTTTATTTAAATATGTAGGGTTCGCGTGAAACGTGAATATAAAATAAGTTAAAATAGGCGATAAAATCCGCAAAAACTAGTTTTATTTAAATATGTAGGGTTCGCGTAAACGTGAATATAAAATAAGTTAATATACGCGATAAAATCCGCAAAAACTAGTTTTATTTAAATATGTAGAGTTCGCGTGAAACGTGAATGTAAAATAAGTCTCTCAAACAAAGATTTATCCACGATAGCTAACTGTGAAGGATGTTCGAGAGAATCACCGTTTAAATATCTATATGTATGGCTATTTTTTATTTACCTTGTGGCTCAAGATGTTATCAAAATTCCGAATTACTAACAAGCAGACAACTGCAAGACTTCACGTTACTATAAGTTCATACTGCGTAGATTCGAACAAAAATTAATTATTTCAATCTGGAGGTAGCCGTGGTTAGCAATGACATTGTGACGTTGGACACCTTAGAACCTCTCGTGACTATGAGTGCTGTAAAGTGTTCGAAACGTTGGGAATATAAAATAAGTTAATATACGCGATAAAATCCGCAAAAACTAGTTTTATTTAAATATGTAGGGTTCGCGTGAAACGTGAATATAAAATAAGTTAATATACGCGATAAAATCCGCAAAAACTAGTTTTATTTAAATATGTAGGGTTCGCGTGAAACGTGAATATAAAATAAGTTAATATAGGCGATAAAATTCGCAAAAACTAGTTTAATTTAAATATGTAGGGTTCGCGTGAAACGTGAATATAAAATAAGTTAATATACGCGATAAAATCTGCAAAAAACTAATTTTATTTAAATATGTAGGGTTCGCGTGAAACGTGAATATAAAATAAGTTAATATACGCGATAAAATCCGCAAAAACTAATTTTATTTAAATATGTAGGGTTCGCGTGAAACGTGAATATAAAATAAGTTAATATACGCGATAAAATCCGCAAAAACTAGTTTTATTTAAATATGTAGGGTTCGCGTAAACGTGAATATAAAATAAGTTAACATACGCGATAAAATCCGCAAAAACTAGTTTTATTTAAATATGTAGAGTTCGCGTGAAACGTGAATATAAAATAAGTTAATATACGCGATAAAATCCGCAAAAATTAGTTTTATTTAAATATGTGGGGTTCGCGTGAAACATGAATATAAAATAAGTTAATATACGCGATAAAATCCACAAAAACTAGTTTTATTTAAATATGTAGGGTTCGCGTGAAAAGTGAATATAAAATAAGTTAATATACGCGATAAAATCCGCAAAAACTAGTTTTATTTAAATATGTAGGGTTCGCGTGAAACGTGAATATAAAATAAGTTAATATACGCGATAAAAATCCGCAAAAAATTAGTTTTATTTAAATATGTGGGGTTCGCGTGAAACGTGTATATAAAATAATTTTATATACGCGATAAAATCCGCAAAAACTAGTTTTATTTAAATATGTAGGGTTCGCGTGAAACGTGGATATAAAATAATTTTATATACGCGATAAAATCCGCAAAAACTGGTTTTATTTAAATATGTAGGGTTCGCGTGAAACGCGAATATAAAAAATCATTATTTATATAATGTTAGATAATTATTTCTGCCTCTTTCTGTTTATTCTAACAGAATTAATTCAGAACCACTTGGCTGCTTAAATGCTAAACTACCACATGCTAAAAAGCACTATTTTTGCAGGAGTGTCAATTGTAAATTTATAGCTTTTATTTTTTGAATTTCTCAACCAAATAAAAACCGAAAAATGTTTACAATAATGTTAAAAATCATAACATCATGCTAATAAACGGACACATTACCCTCCTTTTGAGTATTCAGGTTACATAGAAGTCATTACAGAGCAATAAAATTAAAAAAATCTATAATGCATGCATTCTATAAATAGAACAGATTTGTAAGTACCACTGTTAAGTGTAATATTTTATTTATTTTCAATATTATTATTTATCAAAACAACATTAAGCGAAAACACTGAATTTTAGTTTTAAAATTTTTAAAAGTTTATATCAAAAAATTTATGCAATACAAACGTATTCCATATACAGCACTTTTGTTCATAAATTAATTAAATATTTGTATTTTTAATCAAAACGAGTGTATTACAAGATGTGGCTCTTTTATCTTAAAATAAAATTGTGTACTTTTGATTTTAAGTCCAAAGCAACCACATTCCCTAATATGGTGCTTTGTGCTTTAGACTATCAACTATGAATTAAGCTTACATGGTTTTTTTGACATGTGGTAGTTTGGTTCCAAAAAACGTGCATACACGCTGGCAGCCAGACAAAAACTGAGAATATGGCATTTTTGGCTTGAAATTAGTCGCAAAAGGTCAAAATTCAAAACAAATGTTTCGTATCTTTTTCGTGTTTTAAGGTCGGAATCAACGGGTGTCCTTGATTCCGGTATAATAATGACAGATGATAAGATAATTTATACAATAAAAACTATTTTCATCTATTATATTTATGGAAGTTTTGAATCTAAGCAGAGAATTGTCGATTTAAAAAAATTCCAGTAGCAAGAATACATATTTATTAGGTACTTTGTTCATCAGCGAATTCATATTATATGTTTAACAACACTATATTATAATATGTTGTTAAACTGATGGTGTACTATATAGTACTCAAATGAAAACACTTTCACAACAGGTTTAAGAATCGCTGGCCAAATAAGGAATTCTGACGATGAAGATGTGAGGACCATATTCGTTCAATCGTACATGCCTTTCACTATCACATGCAAAGCAAATGTGTCTCTTTCTTATTGCTGGTTCCAACACCCGAATGGGACCCAGTATACGCCGGCACAACGTCTTGATGAGGAGCAACTGTTTTGGTAAGAACTGGACGTTTTTAACTTCTTATAAGCCAGTGTTTGACTTATTTCCTTCCAGTTATATATTTACTATACCAAAAAAGCGTGAGCAATCTTGCTCTGACGTTTACGTGTTAGATGTTAAACCCTTATTTTGTAAAGCGTATTCACATTCACTCACATGACGACTAGTGTACGCAGAATATAACTAATAAATTATAAATTAATTCCACCCCGGTAGTAGGCACAGTAGCTGGCACAGGCGCTAAGCGCTCACCTTTAATTTCACACCTACGCGAGCAACCGGGGTTAGAACCCAGGCGAAGCCGATGAAATTGGATATTGTAATTTCAGACCAACAAATAAACAAAAATGGAGCGCTGCGTACATTTGAAAAGCCAAAACCATGATTAAGTTATTGTGAAACCACATTCGCGGTAACAATATGCATCTAAAATCATTTTCAAACAACTAAATGGTTTTAGATGTATATGTGTGCGTTCAGCAGTGAACTTTTATACACTGTTAAAAAATAAAGAAGAAAAATGTGTGAAAAATTTCGTCAAGAAGTTGAGCATGATTTCGACATCGAAATGTACACAACGCTACGTCTATCTTCCTTTGTAGGTCTGAGATTGCAATTTTGAGTGTCGATTTACCATTGGCCATGAAGAATAACATTTTGGCAACGTGCACGACAGATAAATTAAAAAAAAAAAAACGAATACATGTCATGTCCGCTAATATACATTGGGGCAGCGCAGCTGATACTTTCTTGCCTCGTTTTTTTAGCATAAAAGATTAAAAATAAATTTAAACAAAATGCTTGAAAATTGTTTAAAAATCAAATCTATCGAAAAGCAAAGGGTTTTCGATAGATTTGATTAGAATTATGCAAAACGTCATGATTGTTTTTCTTTATTCAACAAATTAAAGAACGATTATTATTAGCCCTTTCTTAAGGGGAAATATAATCTCAAATGGCTTAGCAAGATGCTTCCTTATGCCGAAAATATTGCAGCATAAATTTTGAAATAAATATATGGTAAAGTTGAGGATTAATGTTAAGGATTATGTTAGACGAAAACACGATTTCGTAAAATTTTCTCGATAGAAAAAAAATCTAAAGTTACCTCCAAAATGAACAATAAACCGCTGTTATTCATAAAATACTTTAAATAAGATCATGAAACTTTGCATACTAACTGAACTAACTATAAAGCAGTGCTTATGTTATTTTTTTTTAAATACCATTATTTTCACTGTAAAAAGAAATTACCTAAACTATCGGCTTCTTGAAGCGTGATTCCTGCCGCTTCACGGTCACTTCGTCATAGTGATGTTAACCGATTACTATTTTCAGCACCGGTTTAAACCGATTACGTTAAGAAAAAAACCGGTTTTTTAAGGTACTTTTAGGTTTTTTTCTTATTTTTTTATAGAAAGAACAAAAGCTCTAATCTTTTTTTTTAAATCTACTTTATTAAAATCAAAATACCTTTAACTTGAAAATAACTAATCGCATAAGTCGTAATTTTGATTGAGAAAACAGATCTGATCGACAGCATCCGCTTGCAACCTGCTTCTTTTTGAAGACACTTAACCTGACTTCGAAAACATCCTTTCTGGAGGTACAGACGACTTGCAAAAGCGGCGGAAAGTGATTTTGTGTCTATTTGGTAATTTATAGTTTGGGTTCAAAACTTCTGTGAATCTCCTAAATCCCCTGTCTTCAACAATTGAATAGGGCTGGAAGTCAGTAGCGATCATCATGGTTAAATATTTATAAATTTGTTTCTTATTACTTACCAGAGTCAAGATAGTAAGGTTTTTCCTAATAAAATACCAGTTTTGAATTATGGCTTATTATTTATTTTTCTTAAAATAATGAGGTAAAATAACAATCACAGAAAGGAAGTGGTCATCGATCAGATAAGTAATTACCAAATTTAAATGTTATACTTTGCCTGTTTCTAACAAATCGTAGTTTTGGTTTATGAAACAAATTTGGTCCACAGCATCTGCTTGTAGCCTGCTCCTTCTAGAGGACAATACATATCCTGATTTAGAGAACATCCTCTCTGAAGGTACCGATGTGGCTGGTATAGCTAAATACTTTAGCGCTATTGTATTTAATGGCGCCAAGTGTTTGTTGCTGGACCAAAAAGCTCCCGCACTTTCAGCTGCTTTTGTGATCTCGGCTTCTTCATTTTGTGGATCTGTCTCCAAATACATTCGTAAAATATTAACTGCAGAAGCAGTTAAATTAGTATTGGGTCTTCTTTGTTTTATGAAGTCTAGCAGTCCAGGTTTTTTCTGTTCTGTGCTACTACCTGGCTGCTCCGAAGTCGATGGCATAGAGCTATCGGCACAATCTTTTAAGTTATGGGATAATTCTTTCCTGACTAACTCTTTAGCCGACTGCATGTTCTCCGGGTGACGGAATCCTGTTCTTAATACTGGATGTAAATATGTAGCCATTTGGGATACAGTTCTTGTCTCATATGCCAAGAGTCTGCTACTTACGTTTCGCCTCACTGATGAGTGAAACATCTTGCCTATATCTGTTGTTAGGCAAATTTCTATTGTGTTCAATTTTTCAAATAGTCCACATATTAACGGAATAACTAGTGAACTAGTTGGATATTGATCAGCGCTGACGAGTTTTGTAGCTTCCTCGAATATTTCCAAAATGTTGATAACTTCTCTCCCTGCTTCTTCTTCGGAAGCAGTTAAGTAGTCTGGCGCCTGATCTAATTTCCTACACACCAATGCGAGAATGTCACTTAGCTGTAGTATTCTCTTCATCATGTAGAATGTGCTGTTCCATCTTGTAGATACTTCTTGTATCAACTTCAAAGGAGTAGAATCGGGGTTTCTTTCTTTCTGAGCTAATTTTAGCGCTCGCCAACCTACAGATGATTTCTTAAAAAATTTCACTATGGCTTTACATTTGTTAGTTATGTCCTCCACCTGAGAAAGCTTCATAGAATCGTCCAAAGTTAAATTAAGCGTATGGGCAAAACACGGCATGTGCCGTATTCCCAGCAAATTACACATCTTCACCATGTTAGTACCATTATCAGTAACAATAGCAGAAATTTTTCCTAATATTTTCCATTCTGTTAGTAAATCTGTCATAATTTCAGCTAAATTTTCGCCTGTGTGTGAAGTTGGAACATCACATGTAGTTAATACGTAGCTTTTTAAAATGTTTTGGTTAAAAAAATGTATTGTGACAGTAAGGAAACAATCCATGTTTTGATTCGACCACATATCAGCAGTGAGTGCAAGATTCTTAATATTTTCAAGCATGCTAGCAAGCTGTAACTTTGCGCATTGGTAAAGTTCTGGCATTAGGTCATACCTGATCCTCTGTCTACTTGGTAGTTTATAGCTTGGATTCAATGCTTCAACCAGCTTCCTAAAACCCTTGTCTTCAACAATTGAGTACGGCTGAAAGTCCGTGGCGATCATCATAGTCAAATATTTATCGATTTTCTTTTTGCTACTTGATGCGGTCATTTTCAGAGTAGTCTGAAATATGGGGCGCGGAGTATCCGTTGGTTTTTCTTGTGTCGTGCTAGTAGATGTTTCCTGTGCCTGTGTGGCACCTGGCTGATCACCCACTTGACCTCGATCCACCTCCACTGTAGCCTGAGGATGGTTTCTCTTAATATGTGCCAACATATTCGAAGTTCCTCCTCCAACTTTGATCACTTTAGCGCATAGCTTACACTTTGCACTAACATTATCAATCTTTTCAAAATAATTTCTGGTAATTGATTTACTTTTTACTTTAGGCATATTTGCAAAGAAATATTGTTAACTCTAAAGAACTCGCAAGCAAAACAGAAACTGAAATATTTTAATATAGTGAAGTTAGTCGCATATTAAAATGGGATATCGGGGAATTTCCCTACCATAAACAACATTTTAAACAGAACAGAATCATGTTCGGATACATATCAAAGACTAGGATACATGTTTTGTGATTGTAATCGGTTTTGCCAATGAGAACCGGTGATTATAGGTTTTTAAAAAAACCGGTTTTTTAAAGGTTTTCATGAAACCGGTTCACATCGCTACGTACTTCGCTTGGGCCTTTGAAGGGGGAGGTTGTGTCGCTTACGATCAGAATATACATTACGCAACAGGACAACGTAAAATTAAAATGGGAAATAACCGTAATAAAAATAAGAAGTGACTGGCTTGGCGTTAAGAAACAGGCATAAATATGATAAACCTAATGAAATAAGTGTCTAACGACCTTTCTACTTACAGTATTAGTAATTACAAACATGTCGGTACATAGCATACGACGCGCGGGAAAGTGGGGACGAAATTAGAATTTGAGCTGACTTAAACTAAGTTTACACAAACTAAGTTTACACAATTTTAAGATAACTTAAAAATACTTTTGTGTTAGATTAACACAATAACGGCTTTTCCTTATTATGCACACTATATAATGTACGTATAATTCATAACATGAATAATGATAATGAACATTTTTTATAGAATAAGGGTACCTAACATAGGAGCACACAGTAGATAAGTGAATGTTGTGGCCCATAAACATCTACATTTAACTTCGATTAATAATCAAAATGCAGAATGCGCTGTCACCCCTGAGGACTAAGATAGAATGCCTCGTTTCCAGAATAGGGCCGCTGGTTCCCTACACTCACATTACGGACTACTGATGTATTATCCATACGGAATATCAGCATGAAAGAGCATCAAGATGCTCTTTTATGCTGATATTCGTGAGATCGTATCTCTTCCCTGGTCGTGCCGACCCATTCGTGTTATAACTTATAACCATAATACAGCTGCAGCGTGACTTGCGTGGCGTACATTAGCTGCGTTTGGCAGAAAAAAGCGCTAGCAAGCGCTTGTAAGCAAAATGGCGAAACTAAACAGTTTTCGGCCAGGACACGTTTGCTAACTTCAGTAGCGCCGACACAATCCGCCATTTTGCTTATTTAATTTGTTTGTTTTGAAGTAGATTTTATGAGTTGTTTTGTGCAATATTAGTTTCAAGTAATATAATGACATCATAAACATATTATACATGTTATTAAAAATTCATGATTGGTAAGTTTATAATATGAATACTTAAGAAACATATATTTAAATTAAGTTAGGTTCCCCGGTTAAAGATAACTTCGTGTCCTAGAGGAAAATAGCTACTTACGATTTGACAGCGCTTACCGCTTACAATCGCCATTTTGTTTACAAGCGCTTCCTAGCGCTTTTTTCTGCCAAACGCAGCCAATATTTGATTTCAGTTATAGATTTTATTTAATCTAGTAAAATTTTATTTGTTATACTATGTTAATCTGTTATTTATATTATTAACTAGCCGGCGAGTTGCTGCCGCAGAAGAAGTAATTGTGGAAATATCGTTTTAAGTTTGGAAGAGTTAACCTCTCAAACCCCAAATGTTGGATTCGACCACGGCTATATGGGGACTATAAGAGCCAAACGACCTCGAATAATGCACTCCCCCTCTCACACAGCGTACTACCAGATGGCGAGAGCCCTCCGGATAGACGCTATCACGCACACTCCCCCTCTGTCTCGTCCCGACGGCTCTATTGCCTTCTAGGACGAAGAAAAGGCTGAGTGCTTCGCCGACAGCGTCGCCGCTCAATGCTCTCCGAGCTCACAACCCACTGACCCCCTACATATCCAACTAGTGGAGGACGAGGTCCGTCGCCGGAACTCGCCCCCCACCGCCTCTGACCCTATCACTGTGTTCAAAGATGAGATTTCATCTACCATCAAAGGACTTAAGCCCAAAAAAGCACCGGGTGCGGATGGCATCGCCAACCAAGCCCTCAAACACTTTCCGGAGCAGGTGATCGCCTTATTGGCCATAATCTTCAACGCCTGCTTCGAATTCAGCTACTTTCCCACCTCTTGGAAAGAGGCAACTGTCATTGGCATTCCCAAGCCAGGCAAACCTCACCACCTCCCCTCTAATCACCGTACCATCAGCCTCCTCAAGGCCATGGGCAAACTTTTCGAACGAGTTATTCTCGTACGCATGAGGCGCTATTTGTTTCCCACAGACGGCACCCTCTTGTCATCCCTCAACAATTCGGGGTTCGTGCCAAACACTCGTGACCCCAGCAAGTTCACCGCATAATGGAATATATCCTCAGCGGTTTTTATCCTCGTCGTCAAAAGACCATCGCGGTCTTTTTCGACATTGCCAAGGCATTCGACAGAGTCTGGCATGAGGGCCTTATCTACAAATTGTACGACTTAGGCCTCCCTGACCACCTCGTCAGCCTTGTAGCCTCCTATTTGAAGGATCGTACCTTTCGTTTTAGACACGAAGGCACGCTATCCTCTACTCGTCAAATCAAAGCCGGTGTCCCTCAAGGCTCTATGTTTGCCCCCCTCCTATATATACTACTCACCAACGACATCCCTATCCCGTCGAATGGTGTTAAACTAGCCCTCTTTGCAGATGACACAGCCCTTTACTCTAAAGGCAACTCACTGCCACAGATTCGGAACAAGATCCAAAAGTCAGTTAACGACTTAGGAGCTTGGTTCCAAAAATGGCGTATCGACGTAAACCCGGAGAAGAGCTCCGCCGTTTGCTTCGAATATAAACGACGCCGTCTTACCGCCACTCCGCCAATCAGGATGTTAGGAACCCCTGTCCCATGGCAAACAAAAGCCAAATATTTAGGCGTCACATCCTTTCGAATGCAAGGCTCACTTTCGAGCCCCATATCAAGAAAGTAATTCGCACCGCACGATTTTATATGGGTAGGCTCAACAGCATGTTGGGCAGACACAGAAAAATGTCCCTCCGCAACAAGCGAACCCTATATAGGGTCTGCATACAACCTGTTATGACCTACGCGGCCCCCATTTTCGCACATGCTAAGCCCAAAGTTATAAATGAAGAGACTTAGAGCTCCCAACAATCCAGCAGTTCCTTAAATCACTCTCTGAGAGATTTTTCAAATCCTCAGAGTCCCACCCAAATCATCTCATTCGTGAGACAGCTGCCTATGCAGCCCCTATCCACACTAGCTATAGTGTGCGCAGACCGAGAAACTCTCTCTCGGACACCCCCCCCCCAACAAGCTTTCGGCTGACCTGAACTGCCTCCTGGCGGCTCAGGCCGAGCCTACATAACACATCCCTTAATCTGCCTTAGTTAGGCACACTTCTAAGCGGCTTTTCGCCGCTTGCGCCCTCCTTTCTGCCAAGGAGGGTCGCTACTACGTATACGGCTTTGAGATCTCTCGTCAGATCGGTAAGCCAATCCATAAAGGCAGTGTTTAGTAGGTCAAAGTCTCCACACAACCACGCAGCCGGCTGCGTGGTATGCTATGAGCATTCACCACCCCCCTCCCCCGCTTTTCGGAGAGTTGCCCATATTTGCTTCGGGCGCAAAAAAAATAATGCACCTTTAAATAATCATTGTGAACGTCATCTAATGACAGTGAGGTTAAACTAATGAATTAGCGAGGTAAGGTTCGAGTGTTTTAATAGATAGAGCGCAAGTAAGATACGATTAGATGGGACTATGAAATTATTTTTTATTTGAGTGAAATATATTCATAACGATTCATAAAAAAGAAACATTGTGAATAGAATCGCACACAGAGGAGCGCGCGTACGACTAAATGAAAAAACAATGTAAATAAAAAAAATTCTTATGTAAATCATAAATATGTATAAACGGTGCCACTTTGACATTTTTTAATAGGGATCTTAAATATAATTGTGTTTTTTAAAGTTTAATCGAATCGGTTTTATTTCAAAATCACCCTCATCCTTGAATTTTCAAGTAACACACAAATAAAAAATAATTTCATAGTTCCATCTATTCGTTTATTAAACCTATATCTCACTTGCGCTCTATCTATTAAAACACCGCTAATTCATTAGCTTAACCTCACTGTTGCTAGATGGCGTTCACATTAATTGTGTAAATGTGTGCGTGCATCATTCAAGGTCATTTGGCTCTTGTAGTCCCTTTAATAGGAAATAAATAAGGATTTGATGTTCTTTTCTGTTAAACATGGATCTTATTATCTTGAAATACATTTCTGACTTTTAAGAATTATAACGTATTTGATCAACAATACTTTTAAACTGTCTTCAGGTATACTGGTGAAAGTCTGCAAACAGGAGATTGCGGCATTACTTTCTCTCATACAACATCAGAGGATGCTGGCAAATGGATATGTCACATGGGTCCAAGAGATCAATTGGGTATAGAAATAACAGACCATGTGGTTTTAAGAGTTACTGGTTCATTGGCAGCAAATAAAAAGGAAGTTGGAACCAATATTGGTCGCACTGCCACCTTATACTGTCATACAGCAAATGGTAACAGACCGCTCGACTATTGTCGATTCTTGTCACCTAACTTCGTTGGGATAAGAATTGATGAGTCCGTTACGGAAAACAGGCAAGTATTCATAGCCCATGTATCATATACTCGTAATAATAATAATAATATATTATTCACAGCATTGATAATTAAATGTCTCATCTTAATTTTATTTTAAAGCATAAATTGTAACTTTAACCGAATAGAAAACCTTAGAAAAACGTAGGCCTTGAGCTATAAGTAGCTCAGGGGCTAAGTGCTCGCTATACATTTAACAGTACGCGGGCATCCCGGGTTCGATCCCCGCTGGCACTAATAAAATTATTAATTGCAATTTTAAGTGCTGATTTACCACGTGCTCAGCATCGTAAGGAAATCTGCATGTCTGAGAATAAAAAAATATTTTTCGAAGACGTGAAGTTCGCTAACACGCATTGGGGCAGCGCGGCGGACATTTCCCTTAAAACCCTCTTAGAAATGAGCGAATGCCTGTGTCCAACGGTGGGGCGTACATAGGCTGTTACTTCACTTCTACTTTACTTTTGAAAAACGTATAGGTAGTTATATCAATGACGTCTTGGAAACTGTAGTTGAAGTGATAAGCATACTTGACTTGATTTATCAACAGGACTCTACGCCATCCTGTAAACGTATATTCAACGATAATTAGTAGATTAATTATGTATAAATATATAAATGGTTTTCTTTGAGTCTTGATTTGAATCCACTGCATTATTCTTTGTGGACTGAATTAGAACGAGAGTGCAGAAAGTCTTGTCTGTACGTTGGGTCACTCGATTTAGCACTAGTCAAATCGAAGCACATAATAGGGTATTTTTCACCATCAAAAAATAAATAAAAAATATGTATGATAGGTTTTGTAAAAAAGAGAAATGTTGATTTCTACTCATAAAATGCATTATAATGTTTATAATTCAATTTTGAGAATATTATTTTATCTGTGGCTCAAATGTCCTAAACGCTATCCGCCATATTTGCTTCGATAGTAAACAAGCTAAGCTAAGTTATCATTACGAATATCGAATTATATTTTGTATTTTTTTAAAATGGCATGATTCGTAAAGGCAGAAAATACTTATCTACCAAGGATAAATATTAAAGTTGGGCCGATTAGCCGCCGACTAATCGGTGAAACCGGATTAATCGGCCTATTTGTAGTCATCGATTAGTCGGCGATTAATCGGCTAAAACGGCCGATTAATCGGCTTTTTATTTTATTAATTTCAGCAAAGGTTTTTCGTGATTTTCTGCGTGGTAACTGCGGCTACATTGATATGAGTAAAGCTTTAAATTTAAGAAAAGTATAGTTTCTCTCCCATGCGCAAACTCACGTCAGATTTATATGTAGGTAAATTAAATAAATAATAAAATAAGTAGGTTCATACATAACTTTTATCGAAAAATCAATCTCACATGTTTTAATGTTAATTATTCTGGACATTGGAAGTTTCTGAGGTAGCTATTTAAAACTAAACAAAAACCTAAGTACTTAGTATTTTAATTCTACTTTTTAACTTTTTTGACACAACAAAATAAAATATTAATAATATTATTCTTAATAAACTTATAAATTTTTTTAAGTCCCTCCCTTTGTATAACAAAAAAAACTTAATTCTTGAATAAAGTTTTTTAAACTACACATATTTTTAAAAGACAAATAGAACATACTTGTTTCTGTACTACACTAAATTGTTATTGTTTTTGTATTAAAAATGAATTCAAATTGTTATTTTTCTCTACTTAAAATTACAATAAGTTGTTTTTTCCCTGTAATGTTATTAAATAAAAAATCTGTAATCAACTAACAATTTGTTAAAAAGAAATACTCAATTTGAAAAAGTATTGAAGGCTTTTTAGAAAATATTTCATTTATTTGTTATTTTTAACCAGTGGCAAATTGTGATGCAAAAAGGCCAAAATCTCAGTCTTTTCTGGTTGAAGTCGATTTCTTTTTGTTTTGTAGATACTAGATATTCCCTGCCTCAGAAAAAAGTCTCCCACTATACACAGAGCTGGCGAGGCAGCAAAGGAAAACTTTGGCTAAACGGGAAATTTCTGGATATCTGGAAGAATTTTTGTTTCATCATTTGAATTTATCAACGGATAGGGATCGACTGGGCCGATTAATCGGCCGATTGATCGGCCATTTCTTAACCGATTAATCGGCTAATCGGCCAAAGTACTAATCGGCCCAACTCTAATATATATACATTGATGGTGGCAACATTTTTTACATTCAATCCCGATTTTTGTTTTGACGAGTTGAAGAATGTTAAAACATCAATTTAAGTACCTATTACTAACTTTTGTTGATGAACACATTACCAGGTCAGAGTGTCTTTCAATCTGTTTCTCCTTCTTTTAACCTTTGTCTGACTATTATCAGTCAGACAAAGGTTAAACATACACATACATACTTACGTTTATCTATGGTTACAATCATTAACAATCATTAGTTATATCTAAGATAAACTAATCTATTACAAAATTTGACTTGCAATACCTATCACAACACGTTGTTATGTTTTATATAAATGATAGTTAAATATAAGTCATACTTACATCACAGTGATCTTCACAGAAGTATAGTCTAGTTTTTGTAGACAATGTCTTCGGGTTTCTTCTTGCCAGTTTTAACCAAATATTTGAATCAGTTGGCACTTGAAGCCATAACTTCCGTAGCGTTCTTATGCTGGTATTTTTTTCATTCAGACACAACACTCCAATTATAAAGACTCATTATTTAACACCCAAAAATATCTTATTCCTTTGTCAAATTATTTTATTTACTAGCGCAGTGATGTCACGAACTGATCAGCATGGCGGCTAGCGTTTTCGCGCAAAAAATTAAAATTAATTTTTAACATTATTTGACATAAACCGACATGTGGGGTGGTCTGGCGACCGAAATTATTCCTGTGATTCTGCGAACGGGCTAATGCCGGCCGGCCTCTCAGGTCATGTAAGGCGACTGGGACTCTGTGACGGAGGCCCCCGCACACATCCAGACACCCACACATAGCCGCAAGCGATTTTACGTGCACACATGCTTAAGTGTCGTTTCTTTTCGCGTAGTGTATATTTTCTTTGGTGACGGACCGCTCCGGGCTCAAATGCAGAAGGCGGTGCTCCTTGATATCGCCCGCATCGTCTCCCGGTTTCTTTCCATTTCCCCCTAACCCTCGGCCGTTTGGTCATTCCTACCAGGAGCTTTCATCTGGTTGGGTTTTTATAAATTTATGTACCTATTATTTATTAATTTATGTTTCTAAATTTAATGCATTTATGTATATTTATCGTTTTCTTTTATTCATTCAGCCCAAATAGATGAGACTTCTCTATAAATACCTCCAAAATAATAATAATAGTCATAATAACGATTTTTCACTATTTGGTATTAACTTAAAATGAGTATTTTTATCAATTTAAAAGTAGATTAAAGATAAATTGTGGGCACGACTAAAATATTTATAATGCTGTTATCCAACTCCAGTCTGTGGAAATGTGGATAATTGTTTCGATATATTTGAATATAACATCATCTACCATCAGTCTATCACCGCGTGCTTATAAGGTTAGCACTTGAATAAAAAATGATCTTATTATAATCATTATGAAGATAAATATTAATTTTCAGCGCAATATTAAACCGTTACTATTTTACACCGAATCGGAGTCTAGATTACGGTGATTGTTCTTTAACGATAAGTCCTGTTAATGAGGAAGATATCGGAGTATGGACTTGCGCGGCCTTAATTGATCAGGAGACGCTAGAAGGCAGAGACGTAATCACTCTTTATATTGATGGTAAATTTTGAAAAATTCTTATCATATGAATTCATTCATTTATAAATAACAACCCGTCAAAAGTCCAGCCCTGCCTAGGCCTCCCACCAATTTTATAATAAGTTGCCTGATAAGGGGGTATATTTGGCATTGTTGCGCTTGGCAGGCGATTTGGCAATCGCAGTGTTCAATTAAAGTTGTTATCAGCGAAATCCTGCTGCCTATTTCCGGTTTCATTTCACTGTTGCCTCTTTCGACACCCACTGGATGATATGGAAGTACGTAAGTGGTCACTTTCTTGTAAATCAAAAACTCAACCTTGTTTGCGTTGATGGCTTTGTGATACGATAGTTAGGGTGGAACGAAAAAAAAATTCAGAATTTTATTTTGGAATAGTTGTATTATGTTGCCTAATGACATTAGTTAGCTCCATTTAAAATATAAATATTATCTGACAGCGGTAAAAGCCTCCGCCAAGACACCAAACATTTACAAAAATGATAATTTAGAGGCTATTTACACAGGCTACAAAATAGTACAGAATTCATTACAATTCGTTTATTTTATTCAAAAATATATTCAAACAAACTGTTGCAGTTAAATATTTCATTATTTTAATATAATGTGGCGCTGGGACAGAGGAGAAAAGTGCGGAACGAAGCGGGGGGCGGAGCGTGACAGTCTACGAATTGCAGTGTTTTGTTTTGTTTTAACTAGTGTCGATAATTGTCTCAAGGTGGAAGGTCGCGCGTCAAATATTTTCGCGAGTACTTATTTTAATTTACGTTTTTAATTGTATTAACATGACTTCTACGAGACAAAAGCACAGATTAATAAATAGTTTACCAACAGGTACATCACTCCCATACAATAGCGAAAATACCTACGCTATAATAGCCTACAAAATCTTAATAATAATATCTGCTGCTCGTAGCGAGAAGAAAATGTACCGTAAGTACGCGTACGAAGAGTCGAGATTGTGTTGCCCGCCGTGCGACTCACGTGCAAGCGCGTCATCGGACGAATGCGCTAGGGCTGTACCTATGATGATTATTGTAATAAAACGAATGTTGCGAAATACATACATACTAGTCGTTCATCTCAAGAATGCCGTTACCTCCCGCCGCGCCCCCTCATTCCGCGCCTCAAGCGTCGCCCTTTTAGTACCGATAGCAACGTCGAAGTGTACTTACGTCCGTTTTTTATGCTCCCGTACGTTCTCTAGTTTGTTACTGTTTTTGCTGTTGTTTTTGTTACTGTTGATTTTTTGTTTCTGTTTCTGTTGATATTCGTTAATTTGTTCTGTTACAATGAGTAAAAGAGGAAAGGTCTTGCACAGTGGCGAACGCAACTTATTATATAAGATAATGACATTCTTTGAACAAGAAAAGGTTGAAAAGCAGTTGATAACGCCTTATGATGTTCACGATGTCGTAGCTATGAAAAGTATTGCCAGATTTAAAAAATGAAAACTCACGTGATACTTGTAGCAGCACACTGCTCACACAGCCCGATGCACCGTCGGAAATAGAAATTAAGTTGTTGGAAAATGAAAAGAAGTACCAGGCGCTATTAAAATCATTCGATAACGTTATCAAGAGAACTGCGGCCGCCACTGGTATATCTGAACGTACTTTAAGAAATATAAAGACTGAAGCAAAAAAAATTAAAACGAGCTCACCTGAGCCCAGTACTTCAAGTACACAAGAAATAAAATTAACGTCACCGAGAAAAAAGAAAATAGCCACAAAGAGGTTGGAAATAGATGATTTCATGGTGTGTTCGATTCGAAACATAATTGACCGTTTCTACACAGTTAAAAAGGAAGTTCCTACGCTGCGCAAGATATTAGCAGAAGCAAAGAAAGACTTCAATTTTCCTGGGCAAAAAGTCACTCTCTGGAAAATTATAAAAACGAATCTTGGATATAAGTTTACAAAATGTAAAAATATAAGACAATATCTTATTCAGAAACCGGAGATAGCAGCATGGAGAGCACGTTACTTGCGGAGATTACGTGAAAATGATGAATCTGATGTCTATAAAAAACCAGTCATATATTTGGATGAAACGTGGATACACAGCCACTATACCGTTTCAAAATGCTGGCAAAATGCAACTGATGCAAGTGTAAAAAAGAATTTCAATCCCGGACAACGTTGGATTGTGGTCCATGTTGGCAGCGATAATGGTTTTGTCAAAGGTGCCGAACTCCTTTATAAATGCAAAAGCACTGCAGGGGACTACCATAATGAAATGGACGCAAATAATTTCAAAAAGTATATACAGGAAAAACTCCTACCAAACTTACCTCCCAATAGCATTCTTGTACTTGACAATGCACCGTATCACAGCCGCCAGATTGATAAACCACCAACTTCAGTGGCACGCAAAGAAGTTATGCAAAAATGGTTGCAGGAAAATGGTATATCCTTTGACCCAAAGATGACGAAGCGAGAATTATACTATGTAGTATGTCGTTCGACGCCTACCAAAAAATATGAAATTGACGAAATTGTCCAAAGTCATGGACACCAAGTCTTACGCCTACCACCGTACCAATGTGATTTGAATCCCATCGAGTACGTGTGGAATCTAGTGAAGCAAAAAGTAGCCGATAAAAATGTAAGCCAGTCTGAAAAAGAAATACAAAAACTCACTCTGGAAGCTATTAATAGTATCTCTGTAGACTACTGGAAAAAAGAGGTAAACCACGTTGACCGTTTACGGCAACAATATTGGGAAAGCGATAGGTTGCAAGAACTCAACGAAAGAGAATTGATTATTTCGGTGGGCGGAGAGACTGATGACAGTGACACAGAATGGAGTGATGACAGTGACACAGAAACAAGCGATTTCGAAAATCTTTAATTTGATATATTTAAAATGTAAAATAAAACTATAAAAAAAATATTTTATTTTATCGAACACGTTATTATTTCATCATCATCATCATTCAAAAAATATTTTATTTCATCGAACACGTTATTATTTAACTTTATTGAAAATATGAATACTAAAAAACATAAACATGATGACTTTTTTCGTCTACGGTACCGTCAGCTGTGACGTCGTAACGGTCTACGACGGCAAACTCGAAATGAACGCGTAGTAATAACAATATTTTTTATGTTTCAATCAAATATGTTTGAGTTTTATAAAATGATTTATACATTTTTTTCCTTCTCTGAATTCCCGGTTATTAAATTTTATCGTTGAAGTTTCCTAAATCGTGTAAATAATTTTAATAAATAATGATGAGGAAAACAGGAGCAAAGCAGAGGAAAATCAATGGTTTATAAAATTTGCAACACAGTGCTGCCAGGCCGATTCATTATTACGTTGTCAAAATTATTTAATAATGCTCTTTCTAATTCTTCAATATAATTATTAAACGGTTCCGTTGGGACTTTTAGCCTACCATAAAAAGATGAATCTTTATTTTAAGCTTTGAAATTAGCATACAGTGTTGTTTCGTCAACATTAGGGTTTTCCTGTAACAAAGCATAGAAGTTATGTTTTTTTTCTACATTTATGTAATAAATACTCTGATACATGAGTCAATGCAAAAAAAAAAAGACAATTTTTCATTTTTTTTTTACTTTTACACCCATCGACTGCACGATAATAACTTAAGGTTTTGGCATTTCGACAAGTAAGCTCGGGAAACGTGCGCGGTGCTTCCACCGAGCTCAGGCGGGCGTGCGACGGCCCTGTGTCGGTTGTATCGTGGACGATACACAGAGCGGTAGGCATATAACGCGTGGCCTAGAGCAAGTGACGGAGGCCAGAAAGAAGTTAAAATGTCCAATATTTGGTGAAAGTGCAGAGTTGAAAAAGAATATTCTTCCTACGTATGAAATGGGATGAAATTCTATGAATGGGTACGACAAGACTTAAAAGTAAGAAATAACACAAGAAAAGAACCTACGTTTTTGGAAATTGCCGAAATAGTTGCAACGAAAATCGAAGAATTGTGGATAAAATCTTCTATTCCAATTGTCACACAAACGAGTTTTACACTCACTACAGTTATCACTCAAAATTTTATAATTTGAAAAAGTCTTTGAAGAAACTTAAGGAAGAAAAGTTAGAAGAGTTTAGAGTACAAAGTAGAAAGCTTTTGACATAGCTGCATGTAAATGTAAAAAATATATAAGCTGTACTTGTGTGAGAGAAAAAAAAGTACCAAAAGAGGAACAAATATTTTTAGAAGACCAACGCTCTAACAGACTAATGGTTCTAGGAAGAACGGATCTTGTCCAGAGTAAAAAAATGCAGAATAGAAGATTACGTGCTCTTAAACATGAAATCAGGCATAATTCAAATATAAGAATTAAAGAAATTCTTTCTACTTCGTATCGGTTAAATAGATCTGAAGTTTGTTCTAATGTCGACCTTCCTTCTTGCTCATCGGCCGCAGATGGTATTGACACCACTCAAACAGTGGATCAAAAGCCTATAAAGCTCACAGATGCCAGTCTTCATAGTTTGACGACTGTATGCGATAGGTACGGAGTATCAGACAGAGCTGCAGCGGCTAGCGTATCATCTGTTCTATGTTCTGCTTCTGATGCCGACTCTGAGGCACAGTCTACTAACGTTGTGGACAGGATGAAACTAAGAAGAATAAGACAGAAAGTACGCGAGCAAATTTTAACAGAAGAAAGAGTTAAAGAAATTCCTGCATTATATTTCGATGAAAGAAAAGACAAGACGGCTAAAACTGTATTAAAAGGATCAAAGAGGTTTAGAGTGATTGTACAAGAAGAACATATTTCGATTATAAAAGAACCAGGTTCTGTTTACGTTGGGTATGTTGTTCCAGCATCGGGCAGTGCAAGAAATATTGAAAAAGCTATCCACAGCTTTTTGACGTTTGAAAAGATATCACTAGAGAGTATAATGGCAGTTGGCTGTGATGGAACAAACACAAATACAGGAAAAGTGGGAGGCGTGATTCGTCTTTTGGAAAATAGACTATCTCGACCATTGCAATGGATAATTTGTCTCTTACACGCCAATGAGTTGCCATTGAGGCATTTGTTTACCTATTTGGATGGCCCTACTTCAGGACCTAAATCATTTGCAGGGCAAATTGGTAAAGCATTAGAGACATGCGAGACGTTGTCGATGGCCCACTTTGAGAAGATAGACTGTGATCTACCTCCACAAATAACAACAGATCTCAGTACAGACCAAAAATATTTACTAGAAATTATTACTGCTGTCATAAGTGGATCCTGCTCTCCCGATTTATTAAACCGAAGCCCAGGTAAGCTATCCCATGCCCGCTGGTTAACAAGAGCTAATCGCATACTGCGTTTATATATTTCTACTGAAAATCCACAAGAAAATCTTGTAATTTTAGCTACGTTTGTCGTAAAATCGTACGCCCCTGTCTGGTTTGCTATGAAAACACATTCATTCTGCAAAGATGGTTCAAAACATTTATGGAAGCTCATAAACAGCACTAGGTATTTGTCAAAAGTGGACCCAACAGTTACTTGCTCATCCCGAAAACATCTTGTTAAGTATGATAACAGATTCACGGAAGATATAACTCCTGCAAGACGCATTTTAAAAGCTCGTCAAGCTAATAAAAATTCTGTTCCGCGCATATTTGAGATGCTAAAAGTGAACCTTAATTTACGTTGTTACATAGACTTGATTAAAATAAAGAATATTTCTGACGAGCAGTTGCAAGATCTCATTGAAAATGGAGGAGATGCAGTTTTGGAGTTTATGAGACTGCCTTGCCACACCCAGGCTGTGGAAAAATCAGTTAAAGTTGTGACAGAAGCAGCTCTAAGTGTATGCGAAAAGAAAAGAAGAGAGGGATTCATAAAATCTAAATTAGCATTTCGAAAAATCATGCCAAAGATTGAGACGAAAAAGGATTTCTGCTTAAAAAATAACATTATTCATAGAGACAAAAATTTTTTAACCTGTATTCACATTCAAAATAAACTATTTTATTAATGAAAATAATCTTTATTTTATTATTTCCATGCATAACATATAACATTTACTTCTAATTTTGTATGTAGGGTGTACTATACAACGCGTCTATAAAAACTTGAAAAATGAAATTTCAAGTCTATGGCGGGAGTTCAAGCAGTCGAGTTAGAGTTTTTATATTAAGGTACTTATATTATTTACAATTACATAAAGCAATTTTTACATGCGATTCCAAAAAAGATTCTGAAAATTTTCCAAGTGTTCCACCCTAACGATAGTTCTTCATAGGTCAATTCAATAACAAACGGTCAAAAGGGCCATGTTTTCTCGACGCCTTTTTGACAGTCGACATTATATTAAATATTTTAGTCGATTTTAGTATGGTGTAGTGTAGTTAGTTTTTTTTAAAGTAGATTTTTCGAAGTGTTTCTAATTATTGCCAAAGCTTGTTTGCTATGTTTTCTTAACATATTAGTTATAGTACCCATCCACATAACTAAACTATACGACTTTGTGTTTTTGTCTCTGTCAAAGTTTAAGGTGACCATATTACTCTCACCTTGCCTTGCCTTAGTGGATACTCTTACGCCGATCTCTTATAATGTGGATTACTCACTGTTTATTTCTATTATTGTAATTAGTATAAACGGCTCCGTGGGGGCAGTGGCTTGAAGCGCTATGAGCTATGGGTTCGTATCCCGGCAAACAAATAATTGTTCCGGGTCTGGATGCTTGTCCTTGTGAAATTTATGTATGGCGTACATCAGTCAGCATCCGTTTTTTATCAATCATGATGAGCGTGTAATGTACGCCTATATAAGGAGAAAATCTTAGTGTGCAGGTTACGTTATTTTTTAAAATTGTCTAGTAAAGAGAGACGGATATTTCTTTTTAAAATATTACAAGGAAAACCTCATGGTTCACCAATTGGAAACTGGGTAGTGCAGCCTATCATCATCAGGACTAATAAAGAATAAGAAGATATAAAAGTTGATTAATTCTTTTGCTTATTCATTTTGTTCCAGCTTCCACTGCACCACTGTTTACAGCTGGTATAGTCGGAATATCACTGGGAGCAGTGGTGCTAGTTGTGGCTCTTGTTGGAGTTTTGTTGTATAAGCGTTACTGGCCCAAGTTGCCGTGGAGGAGGACATCTTCACCGAGTTCATCCGTGGACAATTTCTCCATGGAATCCATGTCACAGACATCCTATGATCAGTGACCTAAGTGATTCTCTAGTTGTACAGAAGACAAATGTAAAAGGCAAGAATATTGTTGATTGTTGTCATTAAGAATAATAAAATATATACATAATCAACTGGCCCTCTCGGTTTCTCCCTCTCCGACGACACCTTGTCCTATAAAAAATCCCTAAATCTCTGAAAAAGTAAATAATTGTTGCAGAAGTAAATGGAATAGTCGGTAAGGGACGTCTTAGTCGTAAGTTTATCGGCCAAATTGGCGATGTATTAAAGATTAATCAAATTAAGACTTTCTCTATGTGACAAGCATGTATGCGTATCATCGTGCCTAATGGAAGTCCTCTAGAAAATCGCTGACTGCCCCTCTGTGTGACAGGCATCAGTGTTTATGTTTATTAAAGCTGTTCAAAGTCACGCGTTGATGTTGATGTTATCGGAATAAAAACTATCTTATCTCTCAAGTTGGACCAAACTGCACACAGTGTGCAAAATTTTATGAAATCAATTCAGTTATTTAGGAGTTCATCGCGTACAAACAATGCGACACGTAATTTCTATGTATGATAAAGATATGTAACATATTACATCCTACAAGTATCTTCCTTCATTTTCACATCATTTTTGTCTACGTTTTACGCTGTCAGAAAATAATTCATCCCCAAGCCCCCAAACTCAAGTCTGTCCCACAAGGCTCATCTTCCTTCGCCGATGAGTTCTCCCTAGTCTGCGGCTTCATTAGCAACATCAACGTCGCTGAATTATCCTCCTTGGCCCGCAAACTCCACGGAGCAACCAACCTTCAGGATCAGCTCAACTCCACAATTGAGCACATAGGTATTATCGACGCAATTTGATATTCCCATTGTGTCTAAACACCTTATTAAAAACCCGTAACTGACAGTACAACAGTTAGGTAAAATTAAAACACTCTTTCTGACTGTCGTTAGACCGTCGTTTTTTAAGGCTTAGATACCAAAAAGACGAGATCGCGCTCTTCATGCGCAATCACAATGTAGACGTTATGTTAGTGCAAGAGACTTTCTTGAAACCTGGCCATCGCGACCGCAATATCACAGATTACACCTTAATTAGAAATTATATGTTGACTAGCCCCAGAGGCTGCACCTTGATCTACTACCAAAATACCTTGTACCGCGTACCGATCGATGCTCTCCTATCAGCTAACATAGAAGTTTCTATAAGTAAGGGTAAGTTCTGTAAGGTAGCTTTGTCTGGCCATTCGCCACTATCTAGCTGGAGACCTCAACAGTAAGCATTCCTCCTGGAACTCGCATACAAGCAACCGGTAACGTATTCTTCACATGTCCATCCTGGGACTAAGCAAATCAAGGATGTGTCGGTTCCGTTCCATACGGAAGAAACACCTCTGCACATCCTAACTGATTGCGGACCCTTAATGCGCAAACGTAACACTCATCTGGGAAACTATGTACTCCGCTCAGAAGAAATGAAATAGCTCACCGCTAAGCAACTCTTTCTACTCATTGAATACATAGGGCTTAGCAGTGAACTATAGTTATAGCAGCGATCACAATAGATCTTTTAGGTCGCAGTAATACTGATCTCTTTACCTAAACCTGCATAGCTGCCCGCACATAATAAAAAATACGTATTGTTCAATCTCACGGAGCGACTCAACTTCGAGTCTCCAACCCGCTACCCATTTGCTTCCAGTCATCAACCTTCTTCCTATACGAGAAGATATCCTTCTTTTATACGAGAGGGGGAAAACAAGCATACGGCTCACCTGATGTTAAGTCACCACCGCCGCCCATGAACAACAGAGAAATTGCAAGTGCGTTGCCCACCTTATAAAAAGGAGTAAGCTCTTTTCTTATACATATACTTCGGATACCTGAAGCTTCCGAGCGAAATTCGACAACTGATCAAAGAACGCGGCACTTAGACAATATGATCACTACCGCAAATAGGTAACAAAACTGCGCAACCTCCAACATGAGGTAAAAAGCGCATTGCCGAATTTAGAAATGATAAGTGGGATAATCTGCTGGAGGATATCAAGCCATCCCAAACTGCCTTCTGGCAGTTAACCCGATCTCTGAAAGCAGAACAGTCCCTACCCATGCCGGGAAACTTAGGCCAGGAAACCCCGATCCCACCTTTGACAACAGTTAAGAGAGCCAATCCACTCTTCTATCGAACACATATATCTCGCTCACTTTATAAAGGTTGAAGAAGAGGTCAAGCGTAGGTCTGCGCTATCACCTATGGGCGACCTTTTGGAGCCTGTGACTGTCAATGTAGTCACAGAAGTTTTTAAAGGCCTCAAAAAGAAGTCAGCACCCGGCCCCGACGGCATCAGCAACTGGGTGTTCAAATCACTCTCAGCGCCACTTGTTTGCTTCCTGGTGGGCATTTTCAATGCCCTTCTCTTCAGCTACTCCTTCTCGGAAGCCTGGAATGAAGCGAACGTTAAAGGAATTCCGAAACCAAGGAAACCGCGCAACTTAACCTCCAGCTACAGACCCGTAAGTCTCCTCAGCACACTGGGGAAAGTATAGGAACGACCTATATTAAATCGCCTCCAAAAATTTGTTCTTGCTAACAATATTTTTCCAACCGAGTAGTTCGGCTTCAGACCCGAACACTCGTGCACTGACTAGTTAGATCGCCTTACAGAACACATTCTGAAAGGCTTCAACCTCCCAAAAAGAGGTCGCAGTCACAAGTCGCAACACTCTACTAACACTTTCTTCTTTGATGTCGCAAAAGCATTTGACAAATATGGCACAATGGCTTGCTTTACAAGCTGCATAAACTCAGCGTGCCTGATAGGCTCACTCACACCATCAGAGCATTTCTTGCCAACCGTCATTATCGCTATCGAATAGAGGGCACCCACTCTTCAAAGCGTTCTCTTAAGGCTCTGTCTTCTCCCCACTCCTTTCACACTCTTTACGAGTGACATCCCTAGAGACCTGGTAGCTAACACTACTCTTTTCGCCATGACACGGCAGTCTTCATCGCCCATCATAACAAAACAACTCTCACCAAGATGCTCCAAGCAGATGTCAACCGCTTAAGTGATTGGTTCCGCTTATGGAGAATCGAAGTTAATCCTGAGAAAAGTATAGCAATATAATTTCAAAAGAGCCCCACTCTCAAACCTCAAAACAAAAATCCCGACAAATCGATAGGCACGATTACTCAGTTCGGCCGCCAGATCCCCTGGCAATCAACGGCCAAATATCTAGGGGTCATTTCGATCACGGTATGATCTTCGCGGAACACACTTGCTCTGTTGGCAACCGTGCCAAAATATAGTCAGTATTCGTCTCCACCCGCTAGTTAACAGCAAGAGCAAACTGTCCCTAAGACACAAGCTCCATATTTACAAAGCTTGCGTTAGACCTATCATGTCCTACGCAAGCGTTGTTTTCGCGCACGCTACCCACCACCATTTGTCGTCCAAAATAGATTCATCCGCAAAGCCACCGGAGCACGGTGGTAACAACGAAACTCCGACTTACTCAGAGAAAGTCAATATTTTTATGATCTCTGAATATTTCAAGGAAATGTCTCAGCGCTACTTTGAGAGGGCTGAGACACATCCCAATCCGTTAGTTGTAAACGCAACCACCTACGCTCCGACTCCAAACGTTACTACGAATGTCTCCGGAGGCCCCGCAACGTTTTAATTGGACCTCTTGTTCCGCTAGATTACGTCGTCCCAAATGCCGCCGGCCAGTCACACACAAAAACTTCACGTTCACCTAGTGCAACAAACACATTTAGTATACCGGATGGGACGCAGCAAGTCCGCAGACGCCGCGACGCGCACCCCTCCACACCACGTACACACCATACATCCGCGTCCCTGGGCGGTTCTCACCGCCCAGAATATCAAACGATACGAGTAAGCCGTCAGAGCTGGGCGTCCGCCACCACCTGTTCGGACAGTCGTTAGATAACTCACTTACGTGCACTTTCAATTGACGTAGGTGAACAACGTTACGCAAGTTACGATGTAGATTGATGCAGAATGACCCTTCTTATTTTTAGCTTGCCAGGCCACGTTCATCGGAGGCAAACTTTGAGTATTCATTGGTTTAATACTCAAAGGAGGCAAATAATCTGACAGGCATATTACGTAGTTGATTTTTGCAAAACACAACAGAGTGGAATGGAGATGAGCCAACCTCATAGTACATCCATAGTACGATAGTTACCTTATTCGTACTACAAAACTGAATTGTAATTGTTTTAAGTTAAATGTTTATTTAGTTGCAGTGTAAAGTTAAATTTTTTTATAGCATAGGGTTAAAAACGAGCATACAGTCCACCTGATGGTAAGTGGTTGCCGTGGCCCATAGACATCTACATCTATCCTCGATTACGAATCAAAATGCAGATGCGTTGTCACCCGTGAGGACTAAGATGGACTGCCGCGTTTCCAGTAAAAAGGGTCTCCGGTTCTCTACACTCATACGAAACACAGCAGCTTTAAGCAACTATTTTACGCTGATATTCTGTGAGAAATAAATAAAATTAAACAAGTAAATAAAATTGAACAAAACTTTAACTTATTACTTTTTTATTAAATAGACTTATTTATTAATAAAACATATATGTATTAACATAATCGTTGCAGACCGGTTTATAAATAACAGACATCAATTGTTATTCTATTTGGATCTTGAATTATAGATACATTTTGTAAAGTCAATATAAATATACTATGATACATAATACCTCAAACACACCTAATAAACAGTCTTGTGACTGTATCCTACAAAATATATCACAAGATTATTTCTACAATTACGTAACGTATTCAATATCTATAATTTCGTAGTATTATTTATACTTTCTGTGAACAAGAGCAAGAAAGAATTTTTTTTTAGATACAATGGAGTCCTAAATGATCTATGCATTAGAAGATAAATATTTGATAAGAGAAGATTTTTAAACATAGTTCCTCTTTTCTAAAACTATATTTAATATATTCGACACCTTCTCGATGCGAGAGGTATAGTTT